CAAATGTTTGCAGTGCTCAAAATTTCTTTATTTTGTCACACACGGCACGTCCTGTTTAAGGTGTCCGGTCGTATTACACAGTAGTTTGGATGGATTTTTCAATAATAAAATGAAATTTTGTGTACTTTTGTGACGTAAATTATCTCTTGTAACCTCGAGAAATAGGTCCTTAACAAATTTGACAGAAAAAGGTATTTCCTGGCTCCAGGAAAACTGACTGCGCACCAATATTGACCGGCCACCGGCCGCCATAAAATGCTGCCTCAAACGCTGCGTGACGGCTAGGAGTTTTGTTTTCATCTTCTAATTGTAAAGCGAACTTTTGAGGTGGTAGGACAGCGAAATTTTTAGAACGGCGGTTTTCGCGATCATATAGGTCATTCTGCGCCAGCTTGTGACGATTTTCAGTTTCCTCGAGACTACAGAACCCCTTTCGGCGCTTCGCTTTGATGCTCTCGGTGTTTCCTCTGAGTGCGCCTTTAATAAAACATTAATTGTGATTAAACTGTTGCTTTTAATTTTCTCCCTGTTTATTTACGAGGTTGTTTTTAATGGATTGAGTCCAAATTTTTGCTGTAACTATACACCTCAGATTCATGCTGGTTTTATAAGAAAAAGATGATCAAATATATTACGTGACTTCGCTTTCAAATCGCAAACCGCTACTCCTGACATGACGTCATCTTGACTTGGCGATTCGCACACGCAGCCATATTCTTTGATTTAGTTTTACGTTTCAAATTTATAAAATAGATTCGACTGTGAAACATTTTCAGTCACATGAGAAACAGAAAGATATCACATTTAGAAATCCCCTATTGGAAACTGTTCTCCAGATAATAAATTTATAGCCAAATATTTTGATTGCAGCTTATTTCTTGTGAGTAGTATGTAAAAGTTGTCACTGGACAGTCATTTTGCCCAAATGACGTTTTGCACTTTGACTGACACAACAGCTTATATTTTCATCAAAAAGTGTCTAAGCTCATCGAAAATCAGTCATGAAAAACGTCACTTTGTTTGGCTGGACGTAGAAGTGACGCATTTTCTCCACTTTTCAAATTTTTGAGACTTTTCAATGTTTTTATTGCTATTAAATGAGCTTTTCCAAAATCTTAAACCTCTGACAAAATTATGATCTCTTAGAACTAGTAGACTTTTTAAAGATCAAGAATTTCCGAGATTCATGAGAGATACTGTCGGATATAATAAAAGATATTTGAATCGTGATCAACTTTGATAGCTCCCACCTATTCAATATTTGTCAAAGCGGTGAATCCATATCATTTATTGTTGCTTACCGAATACAGAAAATTTCAAAATGAAAACAAGATCGCAAACTGAAGAATTTAGGAGGAAACTGCTTATCGGTTTTTGCAGCGTTTCTCCACCGGCTCCAACTGAAACAAAACGATTAAAACCAATTTTCAATGAATCCACTTACCCCTGGTCCACCAATTCCAGCGATTCCCAGAATCACATCGGAGCTGATTATTTTACTATCTGGGCGGTGGTTCGCTACTTCTGCTAGTGGCATATGTTGGAAGAATCGTTGAAGACGAACACCTCCTTTCAACCGACATTCCTAGAAAATATCCGGAAGAATTGAAAATTCACTGCCGGAATCGCCCGATTGTCCCCAAAGACGTTTCCGACATAGTATCCACCTAAATCAAATAATTAACAATAAATTTAAAAATTTAGGACATACCGAACTGTCAGAGACGACTCCGTCTTTCCAGGTTGGCATCCTATTCGGGCTGATGCCCAGCTGCAAATAGTGCTGACCGCGGTACAGAGTCGAATCCTTTGGGATAGAACGAACTCCCCCGCCATCTTGAATCTTGAGCTATCAACTCACGTCATACGCTACTGAGGTAGCGTGAACCAAAATCTGAAAATCAATTTTAAAAATAATTCAAATAATTGGAAAAAGCAAACCTGATAGTGTAATGTTGAATCATAGACAGAGTACACAGAAAGTGTCTCATTGAGCTTCAATGATGAATGAGGGGCACGTGACGACACAGCGTGTTTTTGAATCGAGAACCACAACATTTTACGGATGCAGCGCTTCATCCGATTTGGAAGTGGTGAACAGAGTCTTCTCCAACATCTCCACGTTAGCTCTTTGCATTTTTCCTTAAACACGGAGATTTATTAGCAAATAATAAGGGAAATGATCACGGATGGAAAACGACGCACAACGCGAACTACATAACAAAAGGAAAAGTTAATGGAAGAAATGCGACGTTCTGGGATAAGTTTTAGGGGGCCCTATAGGGGTAAATTAGGGGCCCCTTGGAGATGCAGCCTATAGGGGCCTAAATGAAACCCTATAGGGACCCCTACAAATTTTAGGGGGTCCCTTTGAGGGGGCACGGAAAATTTTTGAAATAGCTCCGGGAGAAATAGAGAAAACCCTTATTGAATGCGAATCGTTAACACATCCGCGAGTAAAGCTCATCTCATTGCGTTTGAAACTGTTTCCAAATTTATTGAAAGGAATTGAAAACATTAAAAAGCAATCAGGATCATCAATGGGAACAGATAGACATAAGTAACAACAGAGCAAAAACTGAAGATATGTATACGTAGCTGGGATATTCGAGGAAGCAAAACTTTTTGGCCGTAAAAAGACCCGTATAAATATTTGACACGTCTAAATCACTGCCAACGGAAACCGTATTGATCAATCTAATAGAAGCTCTTCAAGACAATAAATATACGCCTAAAGCATATTGATATAAGCGCTACTTGCGATAGAAGAAAAACGCGTTGTGTCAAGGCAAATGGTTGGGCAACTTTCAATAAAAACGTTGGGACTTCGACACGGAAACGAGTTGAAACTACTTACATAAGGGCAAAAAGTTTGGCACATATAAAAAAGAACAATTGAACAGTGAGCACAACCAACTTTGACATTTTGAAAGCAACTTATTGAATTGCTCGGCCCGGTAATCTTCCGTTGATTCTGGTTCATGTGGCGGCTCAAAATTTCCGTCGGCTGATTCCGTGCTTCTACGATCATTTATCATTATCAACATTTTTCGATATACCTTTCAGAATCTTCATCGCTGCTGTAGAACCAATGCGCATCAATAAAAAATCGCGACTTCGCGGCATCTTAATAAAAATTAAGTCTTCTTTAACGAGCAATAATCGAATAGAATATATAAACACGCATTTACATCAAAAACCTCCAACAAACATCATCTACCGGTGAATTTCTGACGGTTTCCACATACAATCCAGTAGACCAATTATACATAGACGAAACTCTGAAAATACCAAAAATAAAAATACTCTGAACACATTTACATAAACAGAGTATATCAATTGTACATAAAACAGAAACACTGAAAATACTGAACCAATGTATAGATTTGCCGTGTTAACTTTTTATGGAGCATACGCACAAATCATTATAATACAATTTGAAACCATAACGAGAAAAATCCTACTGACAACTCGTTCGTGAATAACGTATTACTTCCTTAAGCACCACAGAAATTGATGAAATATAAATAGAAGTTATAAAGTTAAACTAAACCTGGGTCGACTGAGTCAACTCAAAACTTAGAAAAATGAGAAAGATATTTTAAAAACCACGTCTCGTTCCAAAGGGGTCTTCGCGACCCCTTGAGGTCTTGCAATTTTAGGGAGCGATTTAGGGACCCCTACAGGGGGCCCTAAGGATTTCCTCCTAAAAGGCCGCTGCAGACCCCTATAGAGACCCCCTAAAATCGCGACCCCTATAGGGGCCCCTAAAAACTTATCCCAGTTGGCAACGTCCCGTGTTCCTCTGCGTCTCTGCTCACAGACGCCATACTCTCATCACTCTGGCCCAATGCAGTGCGTCGAGTTCAACTGGGGCAAATGTGTGATTGTTGCCATGTCTTCCCATTTACTCAGCCCACCCAAAGATACAACAATGAAAAAAATAATGTTACCCAGCGAATAAGACGACCGACTTGAGTGTAATACAAAAAAGGAATAAATCTCACGAGTTAGAGACGTGACTCACAATAACTACACGTGAACACGTCATAATAATTGTATTCGGTCACAGTGAGGTCTCACAAAAGAAAAAAAGAGAAATTGCGAGTTTCGATTGGGATAGCGATTATTTGTGTTTTCTTTATTATCAATGTATGTTTTCTGTTTTCTTAATCGATTTTTCAGAGAAGAAACTCTTAATTTGAAGCAGATATCCGGTTATTTCTCACAAAATGCGAGTCTAATGAGACGTCCGCAACATCGCGTGCACAGCTACTGTAAACAGTTGTCCGCATACCGATCCAAAGCTTTTTTCAAAATTAAAGGCGGGGAAGTAAAATCGCGTTTTTTCTTCTAACATTGTGAAATCTGTAATTTTTTGAGTACACCATTCGATTCGCAAAGAAAAACTATATAAGATACTGCTTTTACCTGAAACCCCATTTTTTACTGCCCCTATGCCTTTAAATCATTCAGCAGTTAGAGTTAGACTTCTTGATGATAAAGAAGGTAGTAATTCTTTAGGAATAGTGGAAGTAACATTTTGTAAATCTTTAGACCTTGGAAATGAAGAAATTGAATTCATAGACTTAACTCATTTTGATGGATTCAAAGCAAGTTTAGCATTTGCACAAGGACATGTTCCAATCAAAATGAAGACCTTCGGAGATAAAATTTGGTATTACAAAGCTGATTCCTCAGGAGGTGGAATCATTTCAAGTAGTTTACAAATTCATCCATTGATTGATTCACAGAATATTACTGATTTAAAAAGTTTTAATGAGTTTGATTTAAGATTTTTAGATGATAAAGTAATATTTCATGAACACATCTTAATGGATACGAAGACTAACATTGAAGAAGAACTCATTAATGAAATGCGTGAAAAATCTAGTGTAGCTGTTTCCCTTCATTCTAATAGTCAAGATTCCACAATTCCTCATGAGTTGTTAGATGAAGTTCAAGAGTTTCTTCGGATTTTATTACATAATGATTTGGAGAATATTAGTTACTATAGCTGTTGCATTAGTTTATATATATCTTGGTAGATCAATGTGGTTAGTCTTATCCCCAGATAAAAAAATAAATTAAGTACTAACAAGAAGACATATCAAAACTATGAACTTGTTGACATACGTCGTAATTCTAACAGATCTCTTGTTGTTGACTAATTTTTGAATATTTTTTATCTTCTAAATTAAATAAATTCAAAAAAATCAAAGATAAATGAGAATTTTTCAATTCCTCAACTTCTTCAAATTTTCAAATAATCACACCAGAAGAAAAAAACCTAAAATTCAGCTTCTTGGCAACCAAAGTGAAGAAAAAATCTTGGAAACCAAATTGAAGATAAACTTGAAAAAAATTGTTAAAAAAAGATGATTCAATTGAAATGGAAAATAAAAAAGTATTCAAAGTTTATCTTCTCCCAAGCATTCTAGAACTTCTGGAGCCAATAAATTAAAGCAAACAAAATAAAAGATTTTTTTGAAAGGCTTTGAAAAAGTGGTTCTGGATTTAAAAAGAGTGTGAAAATGATTAAAAAGTTTCTCTTAGATGAAGATGAATATGACGATTACATTTGTTTACTACTATTTGGGAACCATTCTCATCTACTAACTTTAAAAATCAAAAATATTTGGTCTTCTCACAACTTTTTGATAAATAATATTGAATGATGTGTATTTGACACTCGAATTCACTTTATGATTAACATTTTGAATCTTTTTAGTCTACACATCACGTTGCTTCTGATAGAATTAACAAAAGAATCACAAATAAGGTTGCATGAAATGAAGATGCTTTTAGATTCTCCTTCTTTTCTATCTTCTTTTTTATTTTCCTCAAGTAGTCCTACGTAACCATCAATTTTTATAACTGCTATCTCATATTGCTTTTCTAAAAAGCTTGGTGTGAATTCAAATTCGAATGTTTTTTCACTTGAATCAATTGTAAGAAAAAATGATGTCATTTATATACATTCAAATTTTTGATGTCATTTAAATAATAATTTTTAAAATGAAAATCAAGAACTATTCTTCTGACAATGAGAGAAATAATGGTGATTTTGCAAACTATTCAGTTAAAAATTTTTATCCTGAAAGAAATAATAATCCTTTGCTTCCAAATAGTATCAGAGCTTGCATTATTGGAAAATCAGGTTGTGGAAAAACTAATTTATTGATGAATTTACTTCTAGATCAATTCAATGGCTCTGAGTATTTAGATTACAATAATTTATACATTTTCAGTACAACTTTATTTCAACCTTGTTATCAAGCACTTATTAATGGATTCCAAAATGGGTTGAGTAAAAAAGAAATCAGAGAATGTTTTCATAATCAGAATTTCATAGTAGAATCTCATGATGAAAATCCTAGGATTAATGTGAAATCTTCAGAATGTTTAGAAGATATTCCAGATCCTTCTAGTATAGATAGGGACCACAGACCTATTTTTCGAACTCAAGCTAGCTCCTCGTTTTTGTTATAAAAATAATGATTTTAACATGTAGTATGCGAAAACAGAAAAGAAAAACGAAAAATATTGAGAATAAGAGGTGAAAACAATATTTAAAAGTAATTGAAAAGCAAAAATTTTTGCACTGAAATTTTGGTTTTGCGAATTCTCATGCAATCTGCGCGCACCCTTATTTGCAAGGTCGGCACGGTTTCAGGAGCCAAAAGAGAAGGTTTTACGAGCTGTAATTCCACTTTACCATCATTTTCGTCTCAGTTACTGCACAAATACAGCCTACAGTGCTCTTTGAACTCCATAAAAAAATGTAATTTCGCCTACTTTTATTCACCTTTTTTTGTTGGGAAAAAAATTTTTTTCGGCGATCTTGAATTTTTCGATTTTCATTGCTTTTATTTGTTTGAAAATTAAAAACTCTTATAAATGAGTAAGAAAAAACGCGTGTCTTCGACCGGGAAATGTTTCAAAATTACTCCCAAAAAATTCTCCACCTTTTTTACCACTCAAAACAGTACATTTGCTTGTAGTTGTCAACAAGTATTATTTGAGCAATGTTTTTCTCAATATGAAAAAAGCATAAAAATCTCCCAATACTGCATTGCAATTGAGAAAACAATTTTTGACTTTGCGCGCCTCTCAATTTTTTCGGCGATCATAGAATTTTTATTTTTTTGGCTTAAAAAATTGCATTTACTGTTTATAAGTAGTTTTCAAAAAATCAACCTTGTCCGCGACCTAGATGAATATCAAAACGCAAAACTAAGTTTATTTTTCGAACTCGCGTCACTATTCCGTACGACACTCCGTTGAAACACATGAAAAAGCACCTAAAAACCTTTTTCAACGGAAAGAGGAACCTTTTCTACATTTATGCTGAAATTTTTCATCATTTTTTTCATTGTTTCTATCGGCTGTACAGAAACAATCAAAGACGGAATACCAAAAATGGCCTTTTTCCCTCGCGAAAAGGGGCGGGGCTTTGCGGTCGCTACCTATACCTCGTTTTTCTTAGTTTTTCTCTTCCCAAGTTTTTTTGGGAGGCGTTTCTGAGCTTCCGGACTTCTAGGAAATCAATCAATCTCTTTATTTTTCGCAACATCAGAATGGTATGGCGATGTTGCAGAGGAGAAAATATTACCACTAGGTGGATGAACTAAACTAAATCTGTAAAAGAAAAACTTTTTCAGGAGGCCGTCTTGACTGTTACAACCGTAGAGCCAGAATATCGTCGCCGTGTAGGAGGACATCATCCGTTGAACTTGGACTTCTAGGACTTTCAAAGGCGCAAGCTCATTTTAATTCACAACAAATTTTTAAATTTAAGAGGAAAAAAATTGGATTTTCAGGTCGACAATCTTCTGGCCAAGCACAAAAAGCGCCCTCATCATGCGGCTTTCCTTTGTTACCGGAGGTTTATCCATGAATTATGACGTTTTTGACGTATATATATTTTTAGGGACAATTTGCTTCACTGTGAAGTCGACAGCACACACGATTGATGCCAATGCGACGAAGCCACTACATTTGGAGCCGTTGGATTTGAAAAGGCTACAACAGAAATGCCTCAAGGATTATTTGAGAGATATCGCTGATGCGGAAAAGGTTGGTAGTTTCGGTGTTTTTCGAATTTTATTTTATATATAACGGTTAGATTCAGGAATATTGATTCATTTTGACTTTTTTTCTGAATTTTCCTGTCCTTAAGTTTATACTTTTTTTCGAATAGTCGAAGATTTTCTGCTGTTATAGGTTTCAAATCCAAAAATAGTTCAAAAAATGTTTCTCTCTTTCTTTCCCTTCGAAAATTTCAGCTTAATCACACTTGAACGGTCGGAGAATATTAAAATTGTGAAATACAATTTTCTTTAAAATTTTGGCTCATCAGCCTAATAAATATGTATAGATCGGTTTTTTAGTAGTTTCACGGCGTTCTTTTGACGACGCCCCTCCCACAATTTCCGTAATATTTGACGTCTTTGGTGCATACACAGAACGACGCTAACTCGCATACTCATTAAATTCGAAAAATAATTTTTTTCCTCGAAAAAAATAGCGTTTTTTTCAAAACTACAGACGTGAAAAAAATCGATCCTTTCACAATTCCTTTTCTAGTTGACAAAAAAACATTTGGGTGAAAGTTTTTTTCTTCTTTTTCTAAACACTTTTATACCTTTCACCCTCAAAAATTAGTTATAGTCCTTTTTTTCAGTGAAAAAAACGTGAAATTTTTGTGCCGAAAAATGACTTATTGTGGTTCTATGTGTCTTTCCCCACTTATTAAAAATTTAAAAAAAGTTTTCTTCACAGATTTAGTTTAGTTCATCCACCTAGTGGTAATATTTTCTCCTCTGCAACATCGCCATACCATTCTGATGTTGCGAAAAATAAAGAGATTGATTGATTCGAAATAAAAAAATTTAATTTGACACTGAAAAATGTTGCTGAAAGGCTTTTTTGCTTTAAAGGGAAAAATTTTGTCAAAACCCAGCAGTTAATATTGAAAAATTGAAAAAAAGTTCCTTCGCATTTTGCTGTCGCAATAAAAAAATAATTACCGTAAATCAGAACAAAACAGATAAAGATACAACTGAAATAAACATGAAAAATCACCTGAAGCACTTGAGCAACAAGAAATTCAAATGTTCGCGCGCAAGCTGTCTACCGTAAATCTAGGTGGAGCAGCCTTTCAAAGCCGCTCCGCATTTTCAAAATTTTTACATTTTCTTCCACTACGCAGAACGCCGTGGTTTCACTTAGTTTGGTTCTTAAAAATGGGTTAAATATGTGAATCTTTAAATCTTTGTAGTCAAATGATAGAAATTTGGTGCTTCATGAAAATTTTCAAGCTTTCAAACTCAGCTACTTTTTATTTTTATAGGTCGGACTTTGTGTTGCATATACCTGCCTCATCATCTGAAACCTTCGAATTCCAGGTCAAATACATCGTCAACGCCAATCTGGAAGTCGTCCGGATCAGCGAAGTCCTGGCGCAGCTCGGCGAGTCTCAGGCCTCCAATGGCACCGCCGAAAGTCGGGACATCTCCAGTAACATCACTCACGTCGGCGACATCGACACCATGCAGCATATCAGGTTTGAAAATAAGAGAATAGAAGAAAAAAACCATTTTTTTTTTCCAGATTCACAGCGATGCGAATAGCTGTCGTCACCTGTAAGGTCAAAGCCACCTTCCGCCGATTTCGACCAGCTTGATGACGATCGCGACCGGTTCGACGTCTTTTGATCAACTCCTACAAAATCGAATATCTTTCAGAGGCTTGAGCGGTCGGATCTTCACGTCACAGGAGGACGACTTCTTGCGCGAGCTCGTCCAGCTCGCCAACTACCACGGCAAGACCAAGCAGGACGTCCTGGACGCCTTGGACTACGTGCACGACACCAGGTTCACGGCGACGAGGAAGACGTCGTCGCTGTACGATGGGTCCGCCGGGGGAGCGACTTCTTGCCTCGTCACGCCAGTTATTTCGCCACGGCCGCCGAAGGTGAGTAGACGGATGGATTTATGACGTCATTCCAGAAAATTGTGTTGGGTATGACGTCATGCGTTTCCTTTTTAGGGCTTCTGGTAGATTTTGAACGAAATTTAAAACTGAAATTCCCGGTCTTTTCATGTTTCTTGGCTTCATTCCAACTTCGAGTTGTTTCAAAATATCGAATTATACCTTTTCAGTTCCAGCCGCCATCACAGTTACCTTCGCCCAACTCCGCGACTCCGCCCCTCTCCTACAGTAATCTCTACGATCACCCCAACACCTTCGAGTACTAAGGGAAAAGAGAAACAAAAAGGGCCCAAGAAACAAATTATCCCTTAATTATTGTAATAATCCCCTCACCTTCAGTTTTTCTGCATATATACGCGGGTTTCCCAAGAAAATATTGTTATTGTTGTTCAGAATAAGAAACAATTTTTTTTGCATTTGTTATTTATCTACACACTCGGCGAGAACTAAAACTGAATTTTCGAATAGTTGAACTCTTAATCCTGGGCATTCTGGAAATCTAATCGGTTTTCTAAAATTCTTTAGTGATCCTCATTAATTTAGTAAAGATCGAAACAATATAAGCTTTATTGAGACACCTGAGCACTCAGATATAACATAATGCGGACATCAAGACGAATCGACTGATATAATCAAATAAGCTGCCCTGAAATTGAGGGTGGTCATTAATATTCCAATAGGCGTCAGATAAAATGCATTTGGTGCACTACACCACGGTGGGATTTTCCGGCGAGAAAGGAGAAGCTGAAAACCTATTTCGGTTTTTTTAATTGTAGTCTATAGAATAGCCTCGGTATAGACTGTTCTCATATCAAATTTTAAGACTCAAGTCGATGATTGGGTCCAAAAAATAACATTTTTAAGCTTCGCAGTTAGTGTCGAAAATTAAGCTTTTGGATGGAGCCGAATGGAATGATAACCTACATCATTGGAAAGCTGACAATGAGACAAATCGATTGATATGATTAGATAAGCTGTAGCTGTTCTACGAGCCGAGATGTAAGCGTTTGAATTTCACCATTAAAATTTCAATAGGCGTCAGATAAAATGCACTTGGTGGGCTGCACCGAGGTGTACTTTTCTGGCGAAAAAGGAAAAGCTCAAAAAAAAGTTTGCTTTTTTTCAAGTTTTTTCTAGTGTAATCGATAGAGCAGCTTCTATATAGTACTGTTGTCATATCAGATTGAAGAAAAAAGCTCTAAAATTTGGTGAAAAATGGGTTCAGAAATTCGTATTTCTCGGACTTTGAAGCTTCATATCTCCGTTCATTTTGAAGTTTAACAGAAATTGCCTACATTAATCAAATCGCCTCATAGTGGGCTTTCTAATAACTTAAATCTTCAAGCGTTTTGAGCACTTTTGATGAAACTGACCAACTTTGAAAAATCATATCTTTTTTTCTAGGCGCTCAAGAACTTTTTGACCTGGATTTTCCATCTTCTGACGTCATTCCCTATCGATTGATGTAAAAAACTCGAAAACTTTGGTTTTCGGGAAAATCGAAAAAAGTACAGTCTAACCCCTTACGTTTTTTTTGAGCTTCTGAGGTCATAGAAGCCGATCTGGACGAAACCTACATCAATCGATAGATCTCGTCGAGAAAATCACCTGAGGCCAGGTTTGACCTCCGTAGGTCAACTATGAACTTAGTTGTAGGCGATCAAAGTTGGAAATCGAAAATTGGAAAATAGGTCGAATAAGGTGTCAATCGATAGCGGAGGTCGAGAGGATCTGGAAAAACTAGGTTTCTAAGTGTCAAACTCCCTGGAAGTCAAGTTATGATTTTTTAAAGTGTCAAAAATGACCAACTTTAAGAGGTTTTAACTTTTTTCTCGAAAGCTTGAAAGATATTTTCAAATTCAGCGAGTTAACTTACGTCGGACTGCTGTAATTTTTGATAAAATCGAGTTTCATGATGCAAAAATCCGAGCTTCTGGGTGAAGCTCAACGATCTCATGACTTATATCATTAGAAAGCGGACGATGAGATCAATCGATTGATATGACTAGATAAGCTGTAGCTGCTCTGGGAGCCGAGATATAAGCGTTTGAAGTTCACCAATAAAATTTGAATAGGCGTCAGATAAAATGCATTTGGTGGGCTGCACCACGGTGTACTTTTCTGCCGAAAAAGGAAAAGCTCAAAAAAAAGTTTGATTTTTTCAAACGATTCCTAGTGTAATCGATAGAGAAGCTTTCATATAGTATAAATATCATATCAGTTTGACGGGAAAAGCTCGATGATCGGGGGAAAAATAGGTCCGAAAAGAAGCACTTTTCAGATTTAGAAGCTTCATATCTCCGTTCAAATTGAAGATACACAAGAACTGATTAAATCAGTCGATTTGCCTTGTTATCACCTTTCTAATGGTATAGGTCTTTTAGAGATTTCATCAACCTGGATTACGTCATAGAAAGTCGCAGCTTACATCTCAGCTTCTTCTTTGTACAAATTGAAATCATCATCAAACGATAAATTGTCTCAAGACGCATCTAATGATATATCTCAGTCCCTGATAGCTTATCACAACATCGAGTTGTATGGTGAAACAAGCCTGAAGCTTCTAGATTAGGCTCAAACTATTGATCACCCATATCATTTGAAAGCTGACGATGAGACGAATCGATTGATATGACTAGATAAGCTGTAGCTGCTCTACGAGCCGAGATATAAGCGTTTGAAGTTTTCTATTAAAATTTAAGTAGGCGTCAGATAAAATGCATTTGGTGGGCTGCACCGCAGTGTACTGCCGTAAAAAAAAAGTTTTTTCAGACTTTTTCAGTGTAATCGATAGAGCAGCTTCCATATAGTACTGTTATCATATCAGATTGTCATGATTCCTTTCATTGATCTTAATAAATGAAATAAAAATGCAATAATAACGAATACAACATTTCGCAAGAAAAAAATTCTGTTTAACCCACCTTCGCTGAATTTAAAATCTTTTTTTTTCGACGTTTGTATTTCCGTTCTCGATGTGAAATGAACAATCGAAACGTCTTTTTATTTTCAAGCGACCTCAAAATTTATTAATCTGTTTATTTCACACAACAGAAAAGGAAATATTTGAGTAAAGTAGAATCCGATAGAAAAACGCTTCAACGAGGGACTTACTGGGTTGGGAGACACTTATTGAATCTTGAGAACAAAAATTTCAGATTTTTTAGAGAAGCCTGTTGGGCACACTTAGTTCATTGTTGTCGAGAGAGTCAAGAAAATTCCTGAAGCGGGTGACTGAAGTGTTCTTGTCTTGAGCATAGTCTGTTCCAGAGGTGGAGGATTGGGAAGGCAGCCCTTGGCTTGGCGGCCAAGCCAAGCCATTGGGCCATGCGATAGAAATGATTCATTGACTTACTATTGAAAAAGTCATTTCTGCTTTTGGGCGTTTATGGCTTGGCAGCCAGGGCGGCCAGTGGGCAGCCATCCTCCACCTCTGGTCTGTTCCAAGTAAGAATGAGCGTGCTGAAGGAGCTGTTAAAGCGAGGACTGTATGAGTATCACTAGGTGAACTCGTTCTTCTGGAGATATTGTCTGCGGTTGGAAAATGGTAGGAGCCCAGGATAAATTTTTGAAGAGTTAGTAGAGATATTATTCATATTCGGAAGGCATGGGCTGAGCCGAGTACATTAAGACGGTCAGAGTATAAATTAAAAGGTAAGGGATATAGTATAGCTGATTCACGGCTGGCTTGAGTCATCGAAAAAAGGGTCCTGACACGACAAGCACTTTTTTCCGCTCTCGTCCGAGAATCAATCCGACGCCCGTCAGCCCTGGACAAGCTGGGCGCCGTACTGTTCCTACATGGAGAAGCAGTGATCGTCGGAAACGCTCGATAAACGTCTACTACAAGCACAAGAGAGGCGAGATGCTCTACGCGCCGTCTACACTTGATCAACGACATTATCGCGAACCGACAAACAACTCTTCAATTATTCCATGATTCAGCAGAGAACCTACTCTGAAGACTGAATAAAACTTTCAAACTTTCAAACTTTCAAAACGATAAGCACAATACAGTATTTGGCTTTTGTAGAATGCAGATAGTCCACGCTTCTTTAGCGTCTCAAGCTAGCCGTGGATTAGCTATAAATACTTAGCAAGCGTATTCAAGATAATGACGAATTTAAAGGGTAAAGAGAAGCTTGTAGGCCAATATGTTAGAAAGCCCTAGAAAGTTGACGAGATTCCAACATAGAAATATTGACAACATGATTATATTCCAATACTACGCAACGATCACATAGCTTATGGCTGTTTGCCCTTATGGTCGGAACTTTAAATTCGGCGTATACGTGATCTATCAGATCGTGTGAGCCGATCTCACGAGCTTTTCGTAGTGAGACTCATTCCCAGCTGTTCAAAGCTTTTCGGTCGACGCGACTGATCATCAGATCGGTCGGAGTCCTGTCGGAGTCGGACAGGATCCTGGTTCGAACCAAAAATCGGATCCAACATGGAACCGAGGTCTGAGGCTCTGTGCTACACAGCCCACAGGGACCGCGCTTAAACCAACGGAGACATATCCGTAAATTAAGCGAAAGTGGATCCGTGAAGGAACCAAGGTCCGGGGTCTTACGTGATTCCAACATAGCAATATTGACAACATGATTATAGTCAATCCATCCCGACTTGAAAGGCGAGGGACGCGTAGCGTGTGCGTACGCGGTTTTTTGCACGAATCCAACTCAAGCACCACGAACTATCAAAAGACCATATAGTCCAAGTAGTCTCTGGCGGTTGAATTGAACTCGTGCCAAGAACCACGAACGCTCACGCTGTGCGTCCCGCCCCCTGCCCCGCCTCTCTCGCCTTTCAAGTCGGGCAAAAATGACTACAATATGAGAATGGAAGGAAATGGAATCATCAATAAAAAGACCAAGGTCTCCGACCATACTTTCAGATTAAATAGGATTCCCTTCGACTAGGATTGTTTCTACCTAGGTGAAGCACAATTATTTTGCTGTCTGCAAAGGGAAGGCCCTAGGCTTTGGACCATTCCAACAACTTGTTGATATTTTCCATGCTCTTTCTCATTCTCTATAACTTCGTTTTATTTGCTTGCAAAGCATGAAAAAAAAAGAAGTTAGAGAACACTATTCGTCGTCGCAGACCTCGTCGTCGTCATCATCTTCTCCTTCTTCTGCTTCCTCTTCTTTGCACGTCTTTGGATCTTTTTCCGCGCAGACATCGCAGTACTTCGGACAAATCACAGTCCTATCGACAATGTAATCGCTCAGATACTCAATTATCAATAACTTGAAAAAATACTGTGACTTTGTCGAGTACTGATTCCGTCCTTTCTTCGTAAAACTGTCGGAAATGGTTATTATTCCCGTACTTCTGGGGCGAAAAAATGTCAAAACTTTCAGAAACCAAAAATGGAACCTGCTTGAAGGTCACCCTATCTCCCTCTTTCTTGCAATCGTAGTAATCTTGTCCAGAAACAAACTGGAAACTTCCTTCGTTGCATATGATCTGTCGAAGAAAGATTCTTTTTTGAAGATTTGAACGATAACCTCATAACACAGTCCATTGTAGAATTGGATCGCCTCAGAGTAAAAACTTGAATCGGTTTTCTGAAAGTGCTGATGTTTTTTTTTCTCCAAAATATTCTGCTTGCATTCGGTTTCATTGGTTGATAGATCATATTCTCATGTTCCAAGCACTTCCAGTCCTAAAATCTTCATTGTGAGTCTGTTCAAGTTGAAATAAAAATTTTTTTTCAAGAAAAAAGATATCGGAATTTTTTCGCATGAGAAAATTGAAACAAGAATTAAAAAGATAGCAGATTTTTTTGCAGATAATCGTTTCGCTCAAAAGCATAGGGCAGTAAAAAAGGGGTTTTCAGTTCAAAGCAGTAATTTGTAGAGCTTTTCATCTTTGTTCCTGAGAGCTCACCTTGCTTTCATATTAGGGTGTTCCATAAGTCTTTGTGCACTTTTGATTTTTGAAAATTTTCGTTGTTTTCATTTCAACAGAAAATAATGTGTCAGCGAGCTTCTGTCTCTTGATGGCCACAGTAGTAATCTAGCGATTGGACACATTATTTTTTCATCTCTGCCTGATGCCCGCCAGTTTCGCTTTGTAACAATGTGTCCAATCCGTGTTCAATATGGTTGGTTCTCTAAGATTTCTATTACAGATAATTCAAATGATCCAAATTGCCTATCGTTGCAAATGTTCTCACAGTTAAGTACCTACAATATGACTGTCCAATGATCTCTAAATAGGAAATATCGAATTTTGAATGAAGTGCACAAAGACTTATGGAAAACCTTAATAGATAGTGAACAACCTCTTGATGAATATTCAGAACCAGGTTTTATCAGACCCAGCCCACTTTCAGGGGTACTGTAGAGAAAAAAAACCGTAAAAACTTTTTTCCTATTGGGCAAAGCTTACACCTGAAACCACGTTTTTTGCTGCCCCCATGCCTTTAATGACGACTCGGGTTTGAAAAATATCTAATTTAGTTGATCAGTAGAGTTTTCTTCTTTAATTTTTTCAAAGCGTACTTCACTGCCAGATGTATAACTGCAGATGATGTGCTGAAACTCAATCTCAGGGTAAGCATCGAAATAGTGAACTTCAACTGACTTGCGGAATGGAACAGTCAGCTAAACTGGATTTCCACTCCATCCCCAAGTACCCTTTACGATCCGTGTCGCACTTTGTAGCGAAATTACTGAAAGAAAGTTTTTAACCAATAGAAATTCAGTTCTAATCATACGGCTGCCCTTTATAATCACTGAGTTTGCAGGATTTCGCGGCTCTACAAGCGTCTTTTGAAAAAGGAGGGCGCATCGGCTCTGCTTTACTGAAAAAAATGTTTGCAGTGCTTTTTTTTTCAAAATTTCTTTATTTTTGTCACACACGGCACGCCTGTTTAAGGTGTCCGGTCGTATTACGGTAGTTTGGATAGATTTTTCAATAATAAAATGAAATTTTTGTGTACTTTTTGTGACGTAAAATTATCTTGTAACCTCGAGAAATAGGTCCTTAACAAATTGCAGAAAAATTATTTCCTGGCTCCGAAACTGACTGCGCAATATTGACCGGCCACCGGCCGCCGTAGTACTGCCTCAAACATGCGTGACGGCTGAGTTTTTGTTTTTCATCTTCTAATTGTAAGCGAACTTTTTGGTGGTAGGAAAACAGCAAATTTTTAGAACGGCGGTTTTTCGCGATTTTTTTCATATAGGTCATTCTGCGCCAGCTTGTGACGATTTTTCAGTTTCCTCGGAGCTACAGAACCCCTTTCGGCGCTTCGCTTTGATGCTCTCGGTGTTTCCTCCTGAGTGCGCCTTTAATAAAACATTAATTGTGATTAAACTGTTGCTTTAATTTTCTCCCTTTTTTGTTTATTTACGAGGTTGTTTTTAATGGATTGATTCCATTTTTTGCTGTAACTATACACACTCAGATTCCATGCTGGTTTTATAAGAAAAAAGATGATCAAATATATTAAATTAACTTCGCTTTAAATCGCAAACCGCTACTCCCTGACATGACGTCATCTTGACTTGGCGATTCGCACACGCAGCCATATTCTTTGATTTATTTTTCACGTTTCAAATTTATAAAATAGATTCGACGTGAAAAAAATTTTCAGTCACATGAGAAACAGAAAGATATCACATTTAGAAATCCCCTTTTTATTGGAAACTTTTTGTTCTCCAGAAAAAAATAATAAATTTATAGCCAAATATTTTGATTACGCTTATTTCTTGTGAGTAGTATGTAAAAAGTTGTCACTGGACGGTCATTTTGCCCAAATGACGTTTTTTGCACTTTTTGACTATTTTAACGCTTATTTTCATCAAAAAAGTGTCTAAGCTCATCGAAAATCAGTCATTTTTGAAAAACGTCACTTTTTTGGCTGGACGTAGAAGTGACCATTTTTCCCACTTTTAAATTTTTGAGACTTTTCAATGTTTTTATTGCTATTAAATGAGCTTTTTCCAAAATCTTAAACCTCTGACAAATTATGATCTCTTAGAACTAGTAGACACACTAAAGATCAAGAATTTCCGGGGAATCTTCATGAGAGATACTTTGTCGGATATAATAAAAGATATTTGAATCGTAATCAACGATAGCTCCCACCTATTCAATATTTGTCAAGCAGTGAATCCATATCATTTATTGTTGCTTACCGAATACAGAAAATTTCAAATGAAACAAGATCGCAAACTGAAGAATTTAGGAGGGAAACTGCTTATCGGTTTTGCAGCGTTTCTCCACCGGCTCCAACTGAAACAAAACGATTAAACCAATTTTCCAATGAATCCACTTACCCCTGGTCCACCAATTCCAGCGATTCCCAGAATCACATCGGAGCTGATTATTTTACTATCTGGGCGGTGGTTCGCTACTTCTGCTAGTGGCATGTTGGAAGAATCGTTGAAGACGAACACCTCCTTTCCAACCGACATTCCTAGAAAATATCCGGAAGAATTGAAAATTCCACTGCCGGAATCGCCCGATTGTCCCCAAGACGTTCCGACATAGTATCCACCTAAATCAAATAATTAACAATAAATTTAAGAATTTAGACATACCGAATCTGTCAGAGACGACTCTGTCTTTCCAGGTTGGCATCCTATTCGGGCTGATGCCCAGCTGCAAATAGTGCTGACCGCGGTACAGAGATTCGAATCCTTTGGGATAGAACGGGAACTCCCCGCCATCTTGAATCTTGAGCACAACTACGTCATACGCTACTGAGGTAGCGTGAACCAAAGTCTGAAAATCAATTTTAAAATAATTCAAATAATTGGAAAAAGCAAACCTGATAGTGTAATGTTGAATCATAGACAGAGTACACAGAAAGTGTCTCATTGAGCTTCAATGATGAATGAGGGCCGTGAAAAAACGACACAGCGTGTTTTGAATCGAGAACCACAACACACGGATGCAGCGCTTCATCCGATTTGGAAGTGGTGAACAGAGTCTTCTCCAACATCTCCACGTTAGCTCTTTGCATTTTTCCTTAAACACGGAGATTTATTAGCAAATAATAAGGGAAATGATCACGGATGGAAAACGACGCACAACGCGAACTACATAACAAAAAGGAAAAAGTTAATGGAAGAATGCGACGTTCTGGGATAAGTTTTAGGGGCCCTATAGGGGGTAAATTAGGGCCCCTTTGAGATGGTCCCTATAGGGGCCCCTTTAAATGAAACTCCCTATAGGGACCCCTACAAATTTTTTTAGGGGTCCCTTTTAGGGGGCATGGAAAATTTTTTTGAAATAGCTCCGGGAGGAAATAGAGAAACCCTTATTGAATGCGAATCGTTAACACATCCGCAGTAAACTCATCTCATTGCGTTTGAAACTGTTTCCAAAATTTATTGAAAGGAATTGAAAAACATTAAAAAGCAATCAGGATCATCAATGGGAACAGATAGACATAAGTAACAAAAACGAGCAAAAAAACTGAAGATATGTATACGTAACAGGATATTCGAGGAAGCAAAAAAACTTTTGGCCGTAAAAGACCCGTATAAATATTTGACACGTCTAAATCACTGCCAACGGAAACCGTATTGATCAATCTAATAGAAGCTCTTCAAGACAATAAATATACGCCTAAAGCATATTGATATAAGCGCTACTTGCGAAAAAATAGAAGAAAAACGCGTTGTGTCAAGGCAAATGGTTGGGCAACTTTCAACAAAAAACGTTGGGACTTCGACACGGAAACGGTTGAAACTACTTACATAAGGGCAAAAAGTTTGGCACATATAAAAAAGAACAATTGAACAGTGAGCAAAAAACAACCAACTTTGACATTTGAAAGCAACTTATTGAATTGCTCGGCCCGCGGTAATCTTCCGTTGATTCTGGTTCATGTGGCGGCTCAAAATTTCCGTCGGCTGATTCCGTGCTTCTACGATCATTTATCATTATCAACATTTTCGATATACCTTTCAGAATCTTCATCGCTGCTGTAGAACCAATGCGCATCAATAAAAATCGCGACTTCGCGGCATCTTAATAAAAAAATTAAGTCTTCTTTAACGAGCAATAATCGAATAGAATATATAAACACGCATTTTACATCAAAAAAACCTCCAACAAACATCATCTACCGGGTGAATTTCTGACGGTTTCACACAATCCAGTAGACCAATTATACATAGACGAAACTCTGAAAAAATACCAAAATAAAAATACTCTGAACACATTTTACATAAACGAGTATATCAATTGTACATAAACGAAACACTGAAAAATACTGAACCAATGTACAGATTGCCGTGTTAACTTTTATGGAGCAAAAATACGCACAAATCATTATAATACAATTTGAAACCATAACGAAAAAATCCTACTGACAACTCGTTCGTGAATAACGTATTACTTCCTTAAGCACCACAGAAATTGATGAAATATAAATAGAAGTTATAAAGTTAAACTAAACCTGGGTCGACTGAGTCAACTCAAAAACTTAGAAAAATGAGAAAGATATTTTAAAAACCACTGTCTCGTTCCAAGGGGTCTTCGCGACCCCTTGAGGGTCTTGCAATTTTTAGGGAGCGAATCCTTAGGACCCCCTATAGGGGGCCCCTAAGGATTTCCTCCTAAAAAGGCCACTTGCAGACCCCCTATAGGGGCCCCCCTAAAATCGCGACCCCTATAGGGCCCCCTAAAAACTTATCCCAGTTGGCAACGTCCCTGTGTTCCTCTGCGTCTCTGCTCACAGACGCCATACTCTCATCACTCTAGCCCAATGCAGTGCGTCGAGTTCAACTGGGGCAAATGTGTGATTGTTGCCATGTCTTCCCATTTACTCAGCCCACCCAAAGATACAACAATGAAAAAATAATGTTACCCAGCGAATAAGACGACCGACTTGAGTGTAATACAAAAAAGGAATAAATCTCACGAGTTAGAGACGTGACTCACAATAACTACACGTGAACACGTCATAATAATTGTATTCGGTCACAGTGAGGTCTCACAAAGAAAAAGAGAAATTGCGAGTTTCGATTGGGATAGCGATTATTTGTGTTTTCTTTATTATCAATGTATGTTTTCTGTTTTCTTAATCGATTTTTTAGAGAAGAAACTCTTAATTTGAAGCAGATATCCGGTTATTTCTCACAAAATGCGAGTCTAATGAGACGTCCGCAACATCGCGTGCACAGCTACTGTAAACAGTTGTCCGCATACCGATCCAAAGCTTTTTTCAAAATTAAAGGCGGGGAAGTAAAATCGCGTTTTTTCTTCTAACATTGTGAAATCTGTAATTTTTTGAGTACACCATTCGATTCGCAAAGAAAAACTATATAAGATACTGCTTTTACCTGAAACCCCATTTTTTACTGCCCCTATGCCTTTAAATCATTCAGCAGTTAGAGTTAGACTTCTTTGATGATAAAGAAGGTAGTAATTCTTTTAGGAATAGTGGAAGTAACATTTTGTAAATCTTTAGACCTTGGAAAATGAAGAAATTGAATTCATAGACTTAACTCATTTTGATGGATTCAAAGCAAGTTTAGCATTTGCACAAGGACATGTTCCAATCAAAAATGAAGACCTTCGGAGATAAAAATTTGGTATTACAAAGCTGATTCCTCAGGAGGTGGAATCATTTCAAGTAGTTTACAAATTCATCCATTGATTGATTCACAGAATATTACTGATTTAAAAAAGTTTTAATGAGTTTGATTTAAGATTTTTTTAGATGATAAAGTAATATTTCATGAACACATCTTAATGGATACGAAGACTAACATTGAAGAAGAACTCATTAATGAAATGCGTGAAAAAAATCTAGTGTAGCTGTTTCCCTTCATTCTAATAGTCAAGATTCCACAATTCCTCATGAGTTGTTAGATGAAGTTCAAGGTTTCTTCGGATTTTATTACATAATGATTTGGAGAATATTAGTTACTATAGCTGTTGCATTAGTTTATATATATCTTGGTAGATCAATGTGGTTAGTCTTATCCCCAGATAAAAAAATAAATTAAGTACTAACAAGAAGACATATCAAAAACTATGAACTTGTTGACATACGTCGTAATTCTAACAGATCTCTTGTTGTTGACTAATTTTTGAATATTTTTTTATCTTCTAAATTAAATAAATTCAAAAATCAAAGATAAATGAGAATTTTCAATTCCTCAACTTCTTCAAATTTTCAAATAATCACACCAGAAGAAAAACCTAAAATTCAGCTTCTTGGCAACCAAAGTGAAGAAAATCTTGGAAACCAAATTGAAGATAAACTTGAAAAAATTGTTAAAAAAGATGATTCAATTGAAATGGAAAATAAAAAAAGTATTCAAAGTTTATCTTCTCCCAAGCATTCTAGAACTTCTGGAGCCAATAAATTAAGCAAACAAAATAAAGATTTTTTGAAGGCTTTGAAAAGTGGTTCTGGATTTAAAAAGAGTGTGAAAAATGATTAAAAAAAGTTTCTCTTAGATGAAGATGAATATGAAGATTACATTTGTTTACTACTATTTGGGAACCATTCTCATCTACTAACTTTAAAAATCAAAAATATTTGGTCTTCTCACAACTTTTTGATAAATAATATTGAATGATGTGTATTTGACACTCGAATTCACTTTATGATTAACATTTGAATCTTTTAGTCTACACATCACGTTGCTTCTGATAGAATTAACAAAAGAATCACAAATAAGGTTGCATGAAATGAAGATGCTTTTAGATTCTCCTTCTTTTCTATCTTCTTTTTTATTTTCCTCAAGTAGTCCTACGTAACCATCAATTTTTTTATAACTGCTATCTCATATTGCTTTTCTAAAAAAAGCTTGGTGTGAATTCAAATTCGAATGTTTTTCACTTGAATCAATTGTAAGAAAAAAATGATGTCATTTATATACATTCAAATTTTTTTGATGTCATTTAAATAATAATTTTTTTAAAAATGAAAAATCAAGAACTATTCTTCTGACAATGAGAGAAATAATGGTGATTTTGCAAACTATTCAGTTAAAAAAATTTTTTATCCTGAAAGAAATAATAATCCTTTTGCTTCCAAATAGTATCAGAGCTTGCATTATTGGAAAAATCAGGTTGTGGAAAAAAACTAATTTATTGATGAATTTACTTTCTAGATCAATTCAATGGCTCTGAGTATTTAGATTACAATAATTTATACATTTTCAGTACAACTTTATTTCAACCTTGTTATCAAGCACTTATTAATGGATTCCAAAATGGGTTGAGTAAAAAAGAAATCAGAGAATGTTTTCATAATCAGAATTTCATAGTAGAATCTCATGATGAAAATCCTAGGATTAATGTGAAATCTTCAGAATGTTTAGAAGATATTCCAGATCCTTCTAGTATAGATAGGGACCACAGACCTATTTTTTTCGAACTCAAGCTAGCTCCTCGTTTTTTTGTTATAAAAAAATAATGATTTTAACATGTAGTATGCGAAAACAGAAAAAGAAAAAAACGAAAAAAATATTAAGAATAAGAGGAGAAAAACAATATTTAAAAAGTAATTGAAAAAGCAAAAAAATTTTTTTGCACTGAAATTTTGGTTTTGCGAATTCTCATGCAATCTGCGCGCACCCTTATTTGCAAGGTCGGCACGGTTTCAGGAGCCAAAAAGAGAAGGTTTTACGAGCTGTAATCCCACTTTACCATCATTTTCGTCTCAGTGACTGCACAAATACAGCCTACAGTGCTCTTTGAATCCCATAAAAATGTAATTTCGCCTACTTTTATTCACCTTTTTTGTTGAGAAAAAAATTTTTTTCGGCGATCTTGAATTTTCGATTTTATTGCTTTATTTGTTTGAAAATTAAAAACTCTTATAAATGAGTAAGAAAAAAACGCGTGTCTTCGACCGGGAAATGTTTCAAAAATTACTCCCAAAAAAATTCTCCACCTTTTTTTACCACTCAAAACAGTACATTTGCTTGTAGTTGTCAACAAGTATTATTTGAGCAATGTTTTTTTCTCAATATGAAAAAAAGCATAAAAATCTTCCCAATACTGCATTGCAATTGAGAAAACAATTTTTTTGACTTTGCGCGCCTCTCAATTTTTTTTCGGCGATCATAGAATTTTTTTATTTTTTTGGCTTAAAAAAATTTGCATTTACTGTTTATAAGTAGTTTTCAAAAAAATCAACCTTTGTCCGCGACCTAGATGAATATCAAAACGCAAAACTAAGTTTATTTTTCGAACTCGCGTCACTATTCCGTACGACACTCCGTTGAAACACATGAAAAGCACCTAAAAACCTTTTCAACGGAAAGAGGAACCTTTTCTACATTTATGCTGAAATTTTCATCATTTTTCATTGTTTCTATCGGCTGTACGAAACAATCAAAGACGGAATACCAAAAAAATGGCCTTTTTTCCCTCGCGAAAAGGGGCGGGGCTTTGCGGTCGCTACCTATACCTCGTTTTCTTAGTTTTCTCTTCCCAAGTTTTTGGAGGCGTTTCTGAGCTTCCGGACTTCTAGGAAATCAATCAATCTCTTTATTTTCGCAACATCAGAATGGTATGGCGATGTTGCAGAGGAGAAATATTACCACTAGGTGGATGAACTAAACTAAATCTGTAAAAGAAAAACTTTTTTTAAATTTTTTTAATAAGTGGGGAAAGACACATAGAACCACAATAAGTCATTTTCGGCACAAAATTTCACGTTTTTCACTGAAAAAAGGACTATAACTAATTTTGAGGGTGAAAGGTATAAAAGTGTTTAGAAAAGAAGAAAAACTTTCACCCAAATGTTTTTTTGTCAACTAGAAAAGGAATTGTGAAAGGATCGATTTTTTTCACGTCTGTAGTTTTGAAAAAACGCTATTTTTCGAGGAAAAAAATTATTTTCGAATTTAATGAGTATGCGAGTTAGCGTCGTTCTGTGTATGCACCAAAGACGTCAAATATTACGGAAATTGTGGGAGGGGCGTCGTCAAAAGAACGCCGTGAAACTACTAAAAAACCGATCTATACATATTTATTAGGCTGATGAGCCAAAAATTTTAAAAGAAAAAATTGTATTTCACAATTTTAATATTCTCCGACCGTTCAAGTGTGATTAAGCTGAAATTTTTCGAAGGGAAAGAAAGAGAGAAACATTTTTTTGAACTATTTTTTTGGATTTGAAACCTATAACAGCAGAAAAATCTTCGACTATTCGAAAAAAAGTATAAACTTAAGGACAGGAAAAATTCAGAAAAAAAGTCAAAAATGAATCAATATTCCTGAATCTAACCGTTATATATAAAAATAAAATTCGAAAAAAACACCGAAACTACCAACCTTTTCCGCATCAGCGATATCTCTCAAATAATCCTTGAGGCATTTCTGTTGTAGCCTTTTCAAATCCAACGGCTCCAAATGTAGTGGCTTCGTCGCATTGGCATCAATCGTGTGTGCTGTCGACTTCACAGTGAAGCAAATTGTCCCTAAAAATATATATACGTCAAAACGTCATAATTCATGGATAAACCTCCGGTAACAAAGGAAAGCCGCATGATGAGGGCGCTTTTGTGCTTGGCCAGAAGATTGTCGACCTGAAAATCCAATTTTTCCTCTTAAATTTAAAATTTGTTGTGAATTAAATGAGCTTGCGCCTTTGAAAGTCCTAGAAGTTAAAAAAAAAACCTCTTCAAACTCTAAGAATCCTAGCAACAGTCCCATGCCCCACAACTTTCTGACGTTGTTCCTCGAGTCGTGGAAAATCTGGAGCAGTTCCAGCATTCCTCGCCAGACCTTGAAAAATTGCAAAATTCAAAAATTTTTTTCCTTAATTATTTATTTTACCGAAAAATCTGACGTTTGTACTGCCACATTCGTACCGCAGATGTGGACATAGCACGTTCTTAAACGTCACGATCTCTGAAAATTGAGATTTCCATCAAAACGATCAGCGATTATTTGTGAAATTAGGAATTTCTATTTTTTAAAGAGACTTTGTGAAAATTTTCAATCGGGAGATCTCTAATTAAGCATCAGACTGTTCATGAGAACCCTAAAAATTGAAAAAAGTAAACGATTCGAAAAATTGATTGAAAACAAAATTAACGAAATCAAAAGAAAATTTGGCCCAAAATTTTTCAAATTTGAAATATGCGCGTCAGATCTAACACTTTGTGCATACACCGCTTGCACGACAAACAATTGCTCACGCGCAAAATCAACTCCGCTCATTTTTCATTGTTATATATTCTTTTTAAGTTCTTTTTCGGAATATAAATTATCAAACTGACGTTGAACGCCATTGACACGAGCCCCATCGCGTCCGGAACGACAATCTGGACACTGAAGCTTGTACTTCAAAAGGTCGAAATCGCCATCGATCAAGTCACGTTGGACATCCGCATTGACCTTGAAAAACGATTATTTTGATGAGGAATAAGACCAAAATCTACAGAATCTTCTTTGAACTTTTTTATAAGTTCGTTAAATTTTCAAATATTATCACCTTGAAGTGCTGCTTGTAGAGGTGCTTGAACTGGTCCCAGTGCATTCCTAGAAAGTTCAAAAAATCAGAAAAGTTCCGAAAATTGATTTTCAGAAATGGTAAGTTGAAGAAATGACTCATTTTTGCTCCAAAACTGTTTTTAACCTATTTTTCAAACCAAACGATTTTGAGGCCCCCGCTAACCTCCAAAACTTTTTTGGGAGGCAAATCAATACCGGATTCGATCCAATTCAACAGGAGGCCGTCTTGACTGTTACAACCGTATAGCCAGAATATCGTCGCCGTGTAGGAGGACATCATCCGTTGAACTTGGACTTCTAGGACTTTCAAAGGCGCAAGCTCATTTAATTCACAACAAATTTTAAATTTAAGAGGAAAAATTGGATTTTCAGGTCGACAATCTTCTGGCCAAGCACAAAAGCGCCCTCATCATGCGGCTTTCCTTTGTTACCGGAGGTTTATCCATGAATTATGACGTTTTGACGTATATATATTTTTAGGGACAATTTGCTTCACTGTGAAGTCGACAGCACACACGATTGATGCCAATGCGACGAAGCCACTACATTTGGAGCCGTTGGATTTGAAAAAGGCTACAACAGAAATGCCTCAAGGATTATTTGAGAGATATCGCTGATGCGGAAAAAGGTTGGTAGTTTCGGTGTTTTTTTCGAATTTTATTTTATATATAACGGTTAGATTCAGGAATATTGATTCATTTTGACTTTTTCTGAATTTTCCTGTCCTTAAGTTTATACTTTTTCGAATAGTCGAAGATTTTCTGCTGTTATAGGTTTCAAATCCAAAAATAGTTCAAAAAATGTTTCTCTCTTTCTTTCCCTTCGAAAAATTTCAGCTTAATCACACTTGAACGGTCGGAGAATATTAAAATTGTGAAATACAATTTTTCTTTAAAAATTTTGGCTCATCAGCCTAATAAATATGTATAGATCGGTTTTTTTAGTAGTTTCACGGCGTTCTTTTTGACGACGCCCCTCCCACAATTTCCGTAATATTTGACGTCTTTGGTGCATACACAGAACGACGCTAACTCGCATACTCATTAAATTCGAAAATAATTTTTTTCCTCGAAAAAAATAGCGTTTTTTTCAAAAACTACAGACGTGAAAAATCGATCCTTTCACAATTCCTTTTCTAGTTGACAAAAAAACATTTGGGTGAAAGTTTTTTTCTTCTTTTTCTAAACACTTTTTATACCTTTCACCCTCAAAATTAGTTATAGTCCTTTTTTCAGTGAAAAACGTGAAATTTTGTGCCGAAAATGACTTATTGTGGTTCTATGTGTCTTTCCCCACTTATTAAAAATTTAAAAAAAGTTTTCTTTACAGATTTAGTTTAGTTCATCCACCTAGTGGTAATATTTCTCCTCTGCAACATCGCCATACCATTCTGATGTTGCGAAAATAAAGAGATTGATTGATTTCCTAGAAGTCCGGAAGCTCAGAAACGCCTCCAAAAAAACTTGGGAAGAGAAAAACTAAGAAAACGAGGTATAGGTAGCGACCGCAAAGCCCCGCCCCTTTTCGCGAGGGAAAAAAAGGCCATTTTTGGTATTCCGTCTTTTGATTGTTTCGTACAGCCGATAGAAACAATGAAAAAAATGATGAAAAATTTCAGCATAAATGTAGAAAAAGGTTCCTCTTTCCGTTGAAAAAGGTTTTTAGGTGCTTTTTCATGTGTTTCAACGGAGTGTCGTACGGAATAGTGACGCGAGTTCGAAAAAAATAAACTTAGTTTTGCGTTTTGATATTCATCTAGGTCGCGGACAAGGTTGATTTTTGAAAACTACTTATAAACAGTAAATGCAATTTTTTTAAGCCAAAAAAATAAAAAAATTCTATGATCGCCGAAAAAAATTGAGAGGCGCGCAAAGTCAAAAAAATTGTTTTCTCAATTGCAATGCAGTATTGGGAGATTTTTATGCTTTTTTCATATTGAGAAAAACATTGCTCAAATAATACTTGTTGACAACTACAAGCAAATGTACTGTTTTGAGTGGTAAAAAAGGTGGAGAATTTTTTGGGAGTAATTTTGAAACATTTCCCGGTCGAAGACACGCGTTTTTTCTTACTCATTTATAAGAGTTTTTAATTTTCAAACAAATAAAGCAATGAAATCGAAAATTCAAGATCGCCGAAAAATTTTTCCCAACAAAAAAGGTGAATAAAGTAGGCGAAATTACATTTTTATGGAGTTCAAAGAGCACTGTAGGCTGTATTTGTGCAGTAACTGAGACGAAAATGATGGTAAAGTGGAATTACAGCTCGTAAAACCTTCTCTTTTGGCTCCTCAAACCGTGCCGACCTTTGCAAATAAGGGTGCGCGCAGATTGCATGAGAATTCGCAAAACCAAAAATTTCAGTGCAAAAAAATTTTTTTGCTTTTTCAATTACTTTTTAAATATTGTTTTCACCTCTTATTCTCAATATTTTTCGTTTTTTTCTTTTTCTGTTTTCGCATACTACATGTTAAAAATCATTATTTTTTTATAACAAAAAAACGAGGAGCTAGCTTGAGTTCGAAAAAAATAGGTCTGTGGTCCCTATCTATACTAGAAGGATCTGGAATATCTTCTAAACATTCTGAAGATTTCACATTAATCCTAGGATTTTCATCATGAGATTCTACTATGAAATTCTGATTATGAAAAACATTCTCTGATTTCTTTTTTTACTCAACCCATTTTGGAATCCATTAATAAGTGCTTGATAACAAGGTTGAAATAAAGTTGTACTGAAAAATGTATAAATTATTGTAATCTAAATACTCAGAGCCATTGAATTGATCTAGAAGTAAATTCATCAATAAATTAGTTTTTCCACAACCTGATTTTCCAATAATGCAAGCTCTGATACTATTTGGAAGCAAAGGATTATTATTTCTTTCAGGATAAAAAAATTTTTTTAACTGAATAGTTTGCAAAAATCACCATTATTTCTCTCATTGTCAGAAGAATAGTTCTTGATTTTCATTTTAAAAATTATTATTTAAAATGACATCAAAAAAATTTGAATGTATATAAATGACATCATTTTTTTCTTACAATTGATTCAAGTGAAAAAAACATTCGAATTTGAATTCACACCAAGCTTTTTTTAGAAAAAGCAATATGAGATAGCAGTTATAAAAAATTGATGGTTACGTAGGACTACATGAGGAAAAATAAAAAAAGAAGATAGAAAAGAAGGAGAATCTAAAAAGCATCTTCATTTCATGCAACCTTATTTGTGATTCTTTTTGTTAATTCTATCAGAAGCAACGTGATGTGTAGACTAAAAAGATTCAAATGTTAATCATAAAGTGAATTCGAGTGTCAAATACACATCATTCAATATTATTTATCAAAAAGTTGTGAGAAGACCAAATATTTTGATTTTAAAGTTAGTAGATGAGAATGGTTCCCAAATAGTAGTAAACAAATGTAATCTTCATATTCATCTTCATCTAAGAGAAACTTTTTTTAATCATTTTCACACTCTTTTTAAATCCAGAACCACTTTTTCAAAGCCTTCAAAAAAATCTTTTATTTTGTTTGCTTAATTTATTGGCTCCAGAAGTTCTAGAATGCTTGGGAGAAGATAAACTTTGAATACTTTTTTTATTTTCCATTTCAATTGAATCATCTTTTTTTAACAATTTTTTTCAAGTTTATCTTCAATTTGGTTTCCAAGATTTTCTTCACTTTGGTTGCCAAGAAGCTGAATTTTAGGTTTTTTTCTTCTGGTGTGATTATTTGAAAAATTTGAAGAAGTTGAGGAATTGAAAAATTCTCATTTATCTTTGATTTTTTTGAATTTATTTAATTTAGAAGATAAAAAAATATTCAAAAAAATTAGTCAACAACAAGAGATCTGTTAGAATTACGACGTATGTCAACAAGTTCATAGTTTTGATATGTCTTCTTGTTAGTACTTAATTTATTTTTTTTATTTTTCTGGGGATAAGACTAACCACATTGATCTACCAAGATATATATAAACTAATGCAACAGCTATAGTAACTAATATTCTCCAAATCATTATGTAATAAAATCCGAAGAAACCTTGAACTTCATCTAACAACTCATGAGGAATTGTGGAATCTTGACTATTAGAATGAAGGGAAACAGCTACACTAGATTTTTTTCACGCATTTCATTAATGAGTTCTTCTTCAATGTTAGTCTTCGTATCCATTAAGATGTGTTCATGAAATATTACTTTATCATCTAAAAAAATCTTAAATCAAACTCATTAAAAACTTTTTTTAAATCAGTAATATTCTGTGAATCAATCAATGGATGAATTTGTAAACTACTTGAAATGATTCCACCTCCTGAGGAATCAGCTTTGTAATACCAAATTTTATCTCCGAAGGTCTTCATTTTGATTGGAACATGTCCTTGTGCAAATGCTAAACTTGCTTTGAATCCATCAAAATGAGTTAAGTCTATGAATTCAATTTCTTCATTTCCAAGGTCTAAAGATTTACAAAAATGTTACTTCCACTATTCCTAAAGAATTACTACCTTCTTTATCATCAAGAAGTCTAACTCTAACTGCTGAATGATTTAAAGGCATAGGGGCAGTAAAAAAATGGGGTTTCAGGTAAAAAGCAGTATCTTATATAGTTTTTTTCTTTGCGAATCGAATGGTGTACTCAAAAAAATTACAGATTTCACAATGTTAGAAGAAAAAAACGCGATTTTTACTTCCCCGCCTTTAATTTTTGAAAAAAAGCTTTGGATCGGTATGCGGACAACTGTTTACAGTAGCTGTGCACGCGATGTTGCGGACGTCTCATTAGACTCGCATTTTGTGAGAAATAACCGGATATCTGCTTCAAATTAAGAGTTTCTTCTCTAAAAAAATCGATTAAGAAAACAGAAAAACATACATTGATAATAAAGAAAAACACAAATAATCGCTATCCCAATCGAAACTCGCAATTTCTCTTTTTTTCTTTGTGAGACCTCACTGTGACCGAATACAATTATTATGACGTGTTCACGTGTAGTTATTGTGAGTCACGTCTCTAACTCGTGAGATTTATTCCTTTTTTGTATTACACTCAAGTCGGTCGTCTTATTCGCTGGGTAACATTATTTTTTCATTGTTGTATCTTTGGGTGGGCTGAGTAAATGGGAAGACATGGCAACAATCACACATTTGCCCCAGTTGAACTCGACGCACTGCATTGGGCTAGAGTGATGAGAGTATGGCGTCTGTGAGCAGAGACGCAGAGGAACACGGGACGTTGCCAACTGGGATAAGTTTTAGGGGGCCCTATAGGGGTCGCGATTTTAGGGGGCCCTATAGGGGGTCTGCAAGTGGCCTTTTTAGGAGGAAATCCTTAGGGCCCCCTATAGGGGGTCCTAAGGATTTCGCTCCCTAAAAATTGCAAGACCCTCAAGGGGTCGCGAAGACCCCTTGGAACGAACGTGGTTTTTTTTTAAAATATCTTTCTCATTTTCTAAGTTTTGAGTTGACTCAGTCGACCCAGGTTTAGTTTAACTTTATAACTTCTATTTATATTTCATCAATTTCTGTGGTGCTTAAGGAAGTAATACGTTATTCACGAACGAGTTGTCAGTAGGATTTTTTCGTTATGGTTTCAAATTGTATTATAATGATTTGTGCGTATTTTTTTTTGCTCCATAAAAGTTAACACGGCAATCTGTACATTGGTTCAGTATTTTCAGTGTTTCGTTTATGTACAATTGATATACTCGTTTATGTAAATGTGTTCAGAGTATTTTTTTATTTTGGTATTTTCAGAGTTTCGTCTATGTATAATTGGTCTACTGGATTGTGTGAAACCGTCAGAAATTCACCGGTAGATGATGTTTGTTGGAGGTTTTTGATGTAAATGCGTGTTTATATATTCTATTCGATTATTGCTCGTTAAAGAAGACTTAATTTTTTATTAAGATGCCGCGAAGTCGCGATTTTATTGATGCGCATTGGTTCTACAGCAGCGATGAAGATTCTGAAAGGTATATCGAAAATGTTGATAATGATAAATGATCGTAGAAGCACGGAATCAGCCGACGGAAATTTTGAGCCGCCACATGAACCAGAATCAACGGAAGATTACCGCGGGCCGAGCAATTCAATAAGTTGCTTTCAAATGTCAAAGTTGGTTGTTTTTTTGCTCACTGTTCAATTGTTCTTTTTTTATATGTGCCAAACTTTTTTTGCCCTTATGTAAGTAGTTTCAACCGTTTCCGTGTCGAAGTCCCAACGTTTTTTTGTTGAAAGTTGCCCAACCATTTGCCTTGACACAACGCGTTTTTTTCTTCTATTTTTTTCGCAAGTAGCGCTTATATCAATATGCTTTAGGCGTATATTTATTGTCTTGAAGAGCTTCTATTAGATTGATCAATACGGTTTCCGTTGGCAGTGATTTAGACGTGTCAAATATTTATACGGGTCTTTTTACGGCCAAAAAGTTTTTTTGCTTCCTCGAATATCCTGTTACGTATACATATCTTCAGTTTTTTTTGCTCGTTTTTTTGTTACTTATGTCTATCTGTTCCCATTGATGATCCTGATTGCTTTTTAATGTTTTCAATTCCTTTCAATAAATTTGGAAACAGTTTCAAACGCAATGAGATGAGTTTACTGCGGATGTGTTAACGATTCGCATTCAATAAGGGTTTCTCTATTTCCTCCCGGAGCTATTTCAAAAATTTTCCGTGCCCCCCTAAAGGGACCCCTAAAAAAATTTGTAGGGGTCCCTATAGGGTTTCATTTAGGGGCCCCTATAGGGCCATCTCCAAGGGGCCCTAATTTACCCCCTATAGGGCCCCCTAAAACTTATCCCAGAACGTCGCATTCTTCCATTAACTTTTCCTTTTGTTATGTAGTTCGCGTTGTGCGTCGTTTTCCATCCGTGATCATTTCCCTTATTATTTGCTAATAAATCTCCGTGTTTAAGGAAAAATGCAAAGAGCTAACGTGGAGATGTTGGAGAAGACTCTGTTCACCACTTCCAAATCGGATGAAGCGCTGCATCCGTGTGTTGTGGTTCTCGATTCAAAACACGCTGTGTCGTTTTTTCACGGCCCTCATTCATCATTGAAGCTCAATGAGACACTTTCTGTGTACTCTGTCTATGATTCAACATTACACTATCAGGTTTGCTTTTTTTCCAATTATTTGAATTATTTTTAAAATTGATTTTCAGACTTTTGGTTCACGCTACCTCAGTAGCGTATGACGTAGTTGTGCTCAAGATTCAAGATGGCGGGGAGTTCCCGTTCTATCCCAAAGGATTCGAATCTCTGTACCGCGGTCAGCACTATTTGCAGCTGGGCATCAGCCCGAATAGGATGCCAACCTGGAAAGACGGAGTCGTCTCTGACAGATTCGGTATGTCTAAATTCTTAAATTTATTGTTAATTATTTGATTTAGGTGGATACTATGTCGGAACGTCTTGGGGACAATCGGGCGATTCCGGCAGTGGAATTTTCAATTCTTCCGGATATTTTCTAGGAATGTCGGTTGGAAAGGAGGTGTTCGTCTTCAACGATTCTTCCAACATGCCACTAGCAGAAGTAGCGAACCACCGCCCAGATAGTAAAAATAATCAGCTCCGATGTGATTCTGGGAATCGCTGGAATTGGTGGACCAGGGGTAAGTGGATTCATTGGAAAAATTGGTTTAATCGTTTTTGTTTCAGTTGGAGCCGGTGGAGAAACGCTGCAAAAACCGATAAGCAGTTTCCCTCCTAAATTCTTCAGTTTGCGATCTTGTTTCATTTGAAATTTTTCTGTATTCGGTAAGCAACAATAAATGATATGGATTCACTGCTTGACAAATATTGAATAGGTGGGAGCTATCGTTGATTACGATTCAAATATCTTTTTATTATATCCGACAAAGTATCTCTCATGAAGATTCCCCGGAAATTCTTGATCTTTAGTGTGTCTACTAGTTCTAAGAGATCATAATTTGTCAGAGGTTTAAGATTTTGGAAAAAAAGCTCATTTAATAGCAATAAAAAAACATTGAAAAAGTCTCAAAAAAATTTAAAAAGTGGGAAAAAAATGGTCACTTCTACGTCCAGCCAAAAAAAGTGACGTTTTTTTCAAAAAAATGACTGATTTTTCGATGAGCTTAGACACTTTTTTTGATGAAAAATAAGCGTTAAAATAGTCAAAAAGTGCAAAAAAACGTCATTTGGGCAAAATGACCGTCCAGTGACAACTTTTTTTACATACTACTCACAAGAAATAAGCGTAATCAAAATATTTGGCTATAAATTTATTATTTTTTTCTGGAGAACAAAAAAAGTTTCCAATAAAAAGGGGATTTCTAAATGTGATATCTTTCTGTTTCTCATGTGACTGAAAAATTTTTTTCACGTCGAATCTATTTTTATAAATTTGAAACGTGAAAAAAATAAATCAAAGAATATGGCTGCGTGTGCGAATCGCCAAGTCAAGATGACGTCATGTCAGGGAGTAGCGGTTTGCGATTTAAAGCGAAGTTAATTTAATATATTTGATCATCTTTTTTTTCTTATAAAACCAGCATGGAATCTGAGTGTGTATAGTTACAGCAAAAAAATGGAATCAATCCATTAAAAAAACAACCTCGTAAATAAACAAAAAAAGGGAGAAAAATTAAAGCAACAGTTTAATCACAATTAATGTTTTATTAAAGGCGCACTCAGGAGGAAACACCGAGAGCATCAAAGCGAAGCGCCGAAAGGGGTTCTGTAGCTCCGAGGAAACTGAAAATCGTCACAAGCTGGCGCAGAATGACCTATATGAAAAAATCGCGAAAACCGCCGTTCTAAAATTTGCTGTTTTTTTTTTCCTACCACCAAAAGTTCGCTTACAATTAGAAGATGAAAACAAAAAACTCAGCCGTCACGCATGTTTGAGGCAGTACTACGGCGGCCGGTGGCCGGTCAATATTGCGCAGTCAGTTTCGGAGCCAGGAAATTTTTTTTAATTTTCTTTTTTTTTGCAATTTGTTAAGGACCTATTTCTCGAGGTTACAAGATAATTTACGTCACAAAAAGTACACAAAATTTCATTTTATTATTGAAAAATCTATCCAAACTACCGTAATACGACCGGACACCTTAAACAGGCGTGCCGTGTGTGACAAAAATAAAGAAATTTTGAAAAAAAAAGCACTGCAAACATTTGTTTCAGTAAAGCAGAGCCGATGCGCCCTCCTTTTTCAAAAGACGCTTGTAGAGCCGCGAAATCCTGCAAATTCAGTGATTACAAAGGGCAGCTGTATGATTAGAACTGATTTCCTATTGGTTTGAAACTGTACTCCAGGGAATTTCACTACAAAATGCGACACGGATCGTAAAGGATACTTGGGGATGGCTTTATACTCCCAGTTCGCCGAATGTCCCTTTCCGAGAGTCAGTTGAAGTTCACTAATTCGATGCTTACCCTGAGATTGAGTTTCAGCCCACCATCTGCAGTTATGCATCTGGCAGCGAGGTACGCTTTGAAAAAATTAGCGAAGAAAACTCCACTGTTCAACTAAATTAGATATTTTTCTAACCCGAGTCGTCATTAAAGGCATATTTTCTACAGTAAGCCTGAAAGTGGGCTGGGCCTGATAAAACTTGGTTCTAAACATTCATCAAGAGGTTGTTCACTATCTTTGATAGCAAAGTGAGCTCTCAGGAACAAAGATGAAAAGCTCTACAAAATACTGCTTTGAACTGAAAACCCCTTTTTACTGCCCTATGCTTTTGAGCGAAACGATTATCTGCGGAAAAATCTGCTATCCTCTTAATTTTTGTTTCAATTTTCTCATGCGAAAAAAATTCCGATATCTTTTTTCTTGAAAAAAAAAATGTTTGTTGCAACTTGAACAGGCTCACAATGAAGATTTTAGGACTGGAAGTGCTTGGAACATGAGAATATGCTGTATCAACCAATGAAACCGAATGCAAGCAGAATATTTTGGAGAAAAAAAAACATCAGCACTTTCAGAAAACCGATCGAAGTTTCTACTCTGAGGCGACCCAAATCTACAATGGACTGTGTTATGAGGTTATCGTTCAAATCTTCAAAAAAGAATCTTTCTTCGACAGATCATATGCAACGAAGGAAGTTTCCAGTTTGTTTCTGGACAAGATTACTACGATTGCAAGAAAGAGGGAGATCTGGTGTTCTTCATACAGGTTCCATTTTGGTTTCTGAAAGCTTTGACCGCTTTTCGCGTCAGAAGTACGGGAAAAATAACCATTTCCGACAGTTTTACGAAGAAAGGACGGAATCAGAACTCGACGAAGTCACAGTATTTTTTCAAGTTAAAAAAAAAAAATGATAATTGAGTATCTGAGCGATTACACTGTCGATAGGACTGTGATTTGTCCGAAGTACTGCGATGTCTGCGCGGAAAAAGATCCAAAGACGTGCAAAGAAGAGGAAGCAGAAGAAGAAGAAGATGATGACGACGACGACGAGGTCTGCGACGACGAATAGTGTTCTCTAACTTCTTTTTTTTTCATGCCTTGCAAGCAAATAAAACGAAGTTATAGAGAATGAGAAAGAGCATGGAAAATATCAACAAGTTGTTGGAAGGGTCCAAAGCCTAGGGCCTTCCCTTTGCAGACAGCAAAATAATTGTGCTTCACCTAGGTAGAAACAATCCTAGTCGAAGGGAATCCTATTTAATCTGAAAGTATGGTCGGAGACCTTGGTCTTTTTATTGATGATTCCATTTCCTTCCATTCTCATATTGTAGTCATTTTTGCCCGACTTGAAAGGCGAGAGAGGCGGGGCAGGGGGCGGGACGCACAGCGTGAGCGTTCGTGGTTCTTGGCACGAGTTCAATTCAACCGCCAGAGACTACTTGGACTATATGGTTTTTTGATAGTTCGTGGTGCTTGAGTTGGATTCGTCCCTCGCCTTTCAAGTCGGGATGGATTGACTATAATCATGTTGTCAATATTGCTATGTTGGAATCACGTAAGACCCCGGACCTTGGTTCCTTCACGGATCCACTTTCGCTTAATTTACGGATATGTCTCCGTTGGTTTAAGCGCGGTCCCTGTGGGCTGTGTAGCACAGAGCCTCAGACCTCGGTTCCATGTTGGATCCGATTTTTGGTTCGAACCAGGATCCTGTCCGACTCCGACAGGACTCCGACCGATCTGAAGATCAGTCGCGTCGACCGAAAAGCTTTGAACAGCTGGGAATGAGTCTCACTACGAAAAGCTCGTGAGATCGGCTCACACGATCTGATAGATCACGTATACGCCGAATTTAAAGTTCCGACCATAAGGGCAAACAGCCATAAGCTATGTGATCGTTGCGTAGTATTGGAATATAATCATGTTGTCAATATTGCTATGTTGGAATCTCGTCAACTTTCTAGGGCTTTCTAACATATTGGCCTACAAGCTTCTCTTTACCCTTTAACACGTGTTCTCCCAGAAAATCGAACAAATGCAAAAAAATTTTGGTACAAAAATTTCAACTTTGTTCCTGAGAGCTCTCCTTGCTATCATAGATAGTGGACAACCTCTTGAATATTTAGAACCAGGTTTTATTAGGCTCCGCCCACTTTCAGGCTTACTGTAGAAAAAACACCGTAAAAACCAAACTTTTTTCCTAGTGGATCAAATTGGTCCAAACAAATTTTTAAAAACAAAAATATGTTCTCATTTAAACATTTATAGTTATAGAACTGACCCAGGGAAAAAAATTTTTCTTCCAGAAGAAAAAAATTAAAGTTTTTTTTGAAAAAAATGACGATTTTCGCAGTCTTCAAGTCATAACTAGTACTAGAACCCCCGAATGCCTGGATTTTTTTATTTCTTTAATCGACGCATTAGGGTCTTGTGAGTAGGGGAAAAAAATGTCTAGAAACTCTGAATCCGGGTGATCCAGTTGACCTCCATGTCGAAGAACGCGACCAACTTGAAAAATCGCAGAACCTTTGAAAATTTCTATTTTTTTGTGAAAGCCGGATTCTGTCTTGTTTCTTATTTTTTTGTTCAACATAACACAGCTTGTTGCAAAATTACAGCTCAAAAGTAGCGAGCTGGAACCCTTTGAAAAAAAATTTCTGACGTTTTTCTAATTTTTCGTTTTTTCGGCATTTTCAAACTTTTTGCTCTAACGAGTACTAGAACCCCCGAATGCCTGGATTTTTATTTCTTTAATCGACGCATTAGGGTCTTGTGAGTAGGGGAAAAATGTCTAGAAACTCTGAATCCGGGTGATCCAGTTGACCTCCATGTCGAAGAACGCGACCAACTTGAAAATCGCAGAACCTTTGAAAATTTCTATTTTTTGTGAAAGCCGGATTCTGTCTTGTTTCTTATTTTTGTTCAACATAACACAGCTTGTTGCAAAATTACAGCTCAAAAAGTAGCGAGCTGGAACCCTTTGAAAAAATTTCTGACGTTTTTTTCTAATTTTTTTCGTTTTTTTCGGCATTTTTCAAACTTTTTGCTCTAACGAGTACTAGAACCCCCGAATGCCTGGATTTTTTTATTTCTTTAATCGACGCATTAGGGTCTTGTGAGTAGAGGAAAAAAATGTCTAGAAACTCTGAATCCGGGTGATCCAGTTGACCTCCATGTCGAAGAACGCGACCAACTTGAAAAATCGCAGAACCTTTGAAAAATTTCTATTTTTTTGTGAAAGCCGGATTCTGTCTTGTTTCTTATTTTTTTGTTCAACATAACACAGCTTGTTGCAAAATTACAGCTCAAAAAGTAGCGAGCTGGAACCCTTTGAAAAAAATTTCTGACGTTTTTTTCTAATTTTTTTCGTTTTTTTCGGCATTTTCAAACTTTTTTTCGCTCTAACGAGTACTAGAACCCCCGAATGCCTGGATTTTTTTATTTCTTTCAATCGACGGATTAGGGTCTTGTGAGTAGAGGAAAAAAATGTCTAGAAACTCTGAATCCAGGTGATCCAGTTGACCTCCATCTCGGAGAACGCGGCCAACTTGAAAATGACTAAATTTTTTTAAAAAAATCAGTTACTTTCTTGGGAGCAGGATTTCCCTTCACTTCTTTTTGCCAATCAGACACAATCTACTCAACACAGAATTGGAACAAAAAGTTATGACTCCCAAGCATGAGGAAATTTTTTTTTCCAATTTTTCACTTTTTCGGATTCATTTCTTTTTTCCTGTCCTTTCCAAGTATTGAGCTCTACTGGATTAGGATACCCGGAATGCTCAGAGTTTTTTCGTTGTATTGATCCGTTACATCTTCCCAAGTTCTTTAAAAATATTCCCAAGCTCTGTTTCCGGGTGATCCAGTTGACCTCCAAGCAGCCGAAGCGGTCGACCTCGAATTAGAGCAAAATTTAAAAAATTTTCCAAACCGTTTTTTTGCTTCCTAACCAGTAGTTCTCATCATCTGGAGGGTTTTCAGTGTATTTTTCCACCAATTGCTAGCGTCAATTTTTTTATTTTTTTAGCTCATTTTTTTATAAACTTTTTGTTGAACGCAAGAGGGAATGTGGCTCGCGTACGACCCCTACACCACAGTTGGCAGCGTGGTGCAGTGGCTAGCGTCCTTGCACTGTGGTGTCTATGTTAGGAGTTCAAAACTTTTTGAAGAAATTCGTTTTTGCCAGTTTTTCTATGAGGAATTCATCGACATTGCGGAAATGGACCAAAACTTTTTGTCCAAAATAGCTTAGCTTCTCATTTCACTCGAAAACGAAGACTTTCGACAAACATTTTCTCTCGTCCCATAGGCATCATCAATAGATCGCTTTCTGTATTTTTTTTTTTGCAAGAATCTAGAGGAGACTTGCTCCTCTTTCTGTGGCGTAAATTTTTTTATTTCATTTCTTTTTGAATTATCAACTGGACTGAAACGCTGATCAAATCATTTTGGACAAAAAAAGTTTTTTTGAAAAATTTTTGATTCTTTTCGCTTGAAATAGTTTTGTCTTTATTTTTCTGTATGATTTTTTTGTCCAAAAATAATTTTTCACAAAAAAAGTCAAACAATTGGTATCGATGAACAAGATTCTTACTTTTCACAAAAATAGTAGTCACTATTTTTCGTAAGTAGTGTCTTTACGTAAGTTGGAACTTTCTTTTAGGCATAATACCAGAGAATTCCAGATTATTCGACAGACACGGGTATTGCTGGGGCTGCGCCCCGTCGAAAAATTTTAAAAAAATTCTCACAAAAAAATAAAAAAATGAGCTAAAAAAATAAAAAAATTGACGCCAGCAATTGGTGGAAACTACACTGAAAAACCCCCCAGATGATGAGAACTACTGGTTAGGAAGCAAAAAAACGGTTTGAAAAATTTTTTAAATTTTGCTCTAATTCGAAGTCGACCGCTTCGGCTGCTTGGAGGTCAACTGGATCACCCGGAAACAGAGCTTGGGAATATTTTTTTAAAGTACTTGGGAAGATGTAACGGATCAGTACAACGAAAAAACTCTAAGCATTCCTGGTATCCTAATCCAGTAGAGCTCAATACTTGGAAAGGAAAGAAAAAAACAATGAATCCGAAAAAATGAAAAATTGGAAAAAAAAAATTTCGTCATGCTTGAGAGCCATAACTTTTTGTTCCAATTTTGTGTTGAGTGGATTGTGTCTGATTGGCAAAAAAAAGTGAGGGAAAATCGTGCTCCCAAGAAAGTAACTGGTTTTTAAAAACTTAGTCATTTTCAAGTTGGCCGCGTTCTCCGAGATGGAGGTCAACTGGATCACCCGGATTCAGAGTTTCTAGACATTTTTCCTCTACTCATAAGACCCTAATGCGTCGATTGAAAAAATAAAAATCCAGGAATTCGGGGGTTCTAGTACTCGTTAGAGCAAAAAGTTTGAAAAATGCCGAAAAAAACGAAAAAAATTAGAAAAAAACGTCAGAAATCAAAGGGTTCCAGCTCGCTACTTTTTGAGCTGTAATTTTTGCAACAAGCTGTGTTATGTTGAACAAAAATAAGAAACAAGACAGAATCCGGCTTTCACAAAAAATAGAAATTTTCAAAGGTTCTGCGATTTTCAAGTTGGTCGCGTTCTTCGACATGGAGGTCAACTGGATCACCCGGATTCAGAGTTTCTAGACATTTTTCCTCTACTCATAAGACCCTAATGCGTCGATTAAAGAAATAAAAATCCAGGAATTCGGGGGTTCTAGTACTCGTTAGAGCAAAAAGTTTGAAAATGCCGAAAAAACGAAAAATTAGAAAAACGTCAGAAATTTTTTTTCAAAGGGTTCCAGCTCGCTACTTTTGAGCTGTAATTTTGCAACAAGCTGTGTTATGTTGAACAAAAATAAGAAACAAGACAGAATCCGGCTTTCACAAAAAATAGAAATTTTCAAAGGTTCTGCGATTTTCAAGTTGGTCGCGTTCTTCGACATGGAGGTCAACTGGATCACCCGGATTCAGAGTTTCTAGACATTTTTCCTCTACTCATAAGACCCTAATGCGTCGATTAAAGAAATAAAAATCCAGGAATTCGGGGGTTCTAGTACTCGTTAGAGCAAAAAGTTTGAAAATGCCGAAAAAACGAAAAATTAGAAAAACGTCAGAAATTTTTTTTCAAAGGGTTCCAGCTCGCTACTTTTGAGCTGTAATTTTGCAACAAGCTGTGTTATGTTGAACAAAAATAAGAAACAAGACAGAATCCGGCTTTCACAAAAAATAGAAATTTTCAAAGGTTCTGCGATTTTCAAGTTGGTCGCGTTCTTCGACATGGAGGTCAACTGGATCACCCGGATTCAGAGTTTCTAGACATTTTTCCCCTACTCACAAGACCCTAATGCGTCGATTAAAGAAATAAAAATCCAGGCATTCGGGGGTTCTAGTACTCGTTAGAGCAAAAAAAGTTTGAAAATGCCGAAAAAAACGAAAAAAATTAGAAAAAAACGTCAGAAATTTTTCAAAGGGTTCCAGCTCGCTACTTTTTGAGCTGTAATTTTTGCAACAAGCTGTGTTATGTTGAACAAAAATAAGAAACAAGACAGAATCCGGCTTTCACAAAAAATAGAAATTTTCAAAGGTTCTGCGATTTTCAAGTTGGTCGCGTTCTTCGACATGGAGGTCAACTGGATCACCCGGATTCAGAGTTTCTAGACATTTTTCCCCTACTCACAAGACCCTAATGCGTCGATTAAAGAAATAAAAATCCAGGCATTCGGGGGTTCTAGTACTAGTTATGACTTGAAGACTGCGAAAATCGTCATTTTTCAAAAAACTTTAATTTTTTTCTTCTGGAAGAAAATTTTTCCCGGGTCAGTTCTATAACTATAAATGTTTAAATGAGAACATATTTTGTTTTAAAATTTGTTTGGACCAATTTGATCCACTAGGAAAAAAGTTTGGTTTTTACGGTGTTTTTTCTACAGTAAGCCTGAAAGTGGGCGGAGCCTAATAAAACCTGGTTCTAAATATTCAAGAGGTTGTCCACTATCTATGATAGCAAGGAGAGCTCTCAGGAACAAAGATCAAATTTTTGTACCAAGGGTTAATCGAAAATCTCGGAGAACGTGTGTTAAATTCGTCATTATCTTGAATACGCTTGCTAAGTATTTATAGCTAATCCACGGCTAGCTTGAGACGCTAAAGAAGCGTGGACTATCTGCATTCTACAAGAGCCAAATACTGTATTGTGCTTATCGTTTTGAAAGTTTGAAAGTTTGAAAGTTTTATTCAGTCTTCAGAGTAGGTTCTCTGCTGAATCATGGAATAATTGAAGAGTTGTTTGTCGGTTCGCGATAATGTCGTTGATCAAGTGTAGACGGCGCGTAGAGCATCTCGCCTCTCTTGTGCTAGTAGTAGACGTTTATCGAGCGTTTCCGACGATCACTGCTTCTCCATGTAGGAACAGTACGGCGCCCAGCTTGTCCAGGGCTGACGGGCGTCGGATTGATTCTCGGACGAGAGCGGAAAAAAGTGCTTGTCGTGTCAGGACCCTTTTTTCGATGACTCAAGCCAGCCGTGAATCAGCTATACTATATCCCTTACCTTTTAATTTATACTCTGACCGTCTTAGTGTACTCGGCTCAGCCCATGCCTTCCGAATATGAATAATATCTCTACTAACTCTTCAAAAATTAATCCTGGGCTCCTACCATTTTCCAACCGCAGACAATATCTCCAGAAGAACGAGTTCACCTAGTGATACTCATACAGTCCTCGCTTTAACAGCTCCTTCAGCACGCTCATTCTTACTTGGAACAGACCAGAGGTGGAGGATGGCTGCCAAGCCATAAACGCCCAAAAGCAGAAATGACTTTTTCAATAGTAAGTCAATGAATCATTTCTATCGCATGGCCCAATGGCTTGGCTTGGCCGCCAAGCCAAGGGCTGCCTTCCCAATCCTCCACCTCTGGAACAGACTATGCTCAAGACAAGAACACTTCAGTCACCCGCTTCAGGAATTTTCTTGACTCTCTCGACAACAATGAACTAAGTGTGCCCAACAGGCTTCTCTAAAAAATCTGAAATTTTTGTTCTCAAGATTCAATAAGTGTCTCCCAACCCAGTAAGTCCCTCGTTGAAGCGTTTTTCTATCGGATTCTACTTTACTCAAATATTTCCTTTTCTGTTGTGTGAAATAAACAGATTAATAAATTTTGAGGTCGCTTGAAAATAAAAAGACGTTTCGATTGTTCATTTCACATCGAGAACGGAAATACAAACGTCGAAAAAAAAAGATTTTAAATTCAGCGAAGGTGGGTTAAACAGAATTTTTTCTTGCGAAATGTTGTATTCGTTATTATTGCATTTTATTTCATTTATTAAGATCAATGAAAGGAATCATGACAATCTGATATGATAACAGTACTATATGGAAGCTGCTCTATCGATTACACTGAAAAAGTCTGAAAAAACTTTTTTTTTTTCGGCAGTACACTGCGGTGCAGCCCACCAAATGCATTTTATCTGACGCCTACTTAAATTTTAATAGAAAACTTCAAACGCTTATATCTCGGCTCGTAGAGCAGCTACAGCTTATCTAGTCATATCAATCGATTCGTCTCATCGTCAGCTTTCAAATGATATGGGTGATCAATAGTTTGAGCTTAATCTAAAAGCTTCAGGCTTGTTTCACCATACAACTCGATGTTGTGATAAGCTATCAGGGACTGAGATATATCATTAGATGCGTCTTGAGACAATTTATCGTTTGATGATGATTTCAATTTGTACAAAGAAGAAGCTGAGATGTAAGCTGCGACTTTCTATGACGTAATCCAGGTTGATGAAATCTCTAAAAGACCTATACCATTAGAAAGGTGATAACAAGGCAAATCGACTGATTTAATCAGTTCTTGTGTATCTTCAATTTGAACGGAGATATGAAGCTTCAAAGTCCGAGAAATACGAATTTTTGAACCCATTTTTCACCAAATTTTAGAGCTTTTTTCTCCAATCTGATATGATAACAGTACTATATAGAAGCTGCTCTATCGATTACACTATAAAAAGTTTGAAAAAAAAACAAACTTTTTTTGAGCTTTTTCTTTTTCGCCAGGAAAGTACACCGCGGTGCAGCCCACCAAATGCATTTTATCTGACGCCTATTCAAATTTTGATGGAGAGCTTGAAACGCTTATATCTTGGCTCCCAGAGCAGCTACAGCTTATCTAGTCATATCAATAGATTCGTCTTATCGTCAGCTTTCCAATGATATAGGTTATCATTTCATTGGGCTTCATCCAAAAGCTTAATTTTCGACACTAACTGCGAAGCCTAAAAATGTTATTTTTTGAACCCAATCATCGACTTGACTCTTAAAATTTGATATGAGAACAGTTTATACGGAGGCTACTCTATCGACTACAATCAAAAAAACCGGAATAGGTTTTTAGCTTCTCCTTTCTCGCCGGAAAATCCCACCTTGGTGTAGTGCACCAAATGCATTTTATCTGACGCCTTTAGAAGTAATAATGACTAACCTCAATTTCAGAGCAGCTTATTTGATTATATCAGTCGATTCGTCTTGATGTTTTAGAAAACCGATTAGATTTCCAGAATGCCCAGGATTAAGAGTTTAACTATTCGAAAATTCAGTTTTAGTTCTCGCCAAGTGTGTAGATAAATAACAAATGCAAAAAAAATTTTTCTTATTCTGAACAACAATAACAATATTTTCTTGGGAAACCCGCGTATATATGCAGAAAAACTGAAGGTGAGGGGATTATTACAATTATTAAGGACTAAATCGTTTTTTGGGCCATTTTTGTTTCTTTTTTTGCTTAGTACTCGAAGGTGTTGGGGTGATCGTAGAGATTACTGTAGGAGAGGGGCGGAGTCGCGGAGTTAGGCGAAGGTAACTGTGACGGCGGCTGGAACTGAAAAGGTATAAATTGAAAGTTTGAAAAAACTCGAAGTTGGAATGGAGCCAAAAGAAGCACAAAAACCGTGAAGTTCTGTTTTAAATTTCGTTCAAAATCTAACAGAAGCCCTAAAAAGGAAACGCATGACGTCATACCCAACCCAATTTTCTGGAATGACGTCATCAAATCCATATGTCCACTCACCTTCGGCGGCCGTGGCGAAATAACTGGCGTGACGAGGCAAGAAGTCGCTCCCCCCGCGGACCCATCGTACAGCGACGACGTCTTCCTCGTCGCCGTGAACCTGGTGTCGTGCACGTAGTCCAAGGCGTCCAGGACGTCCTGCTTGGTCTTGCCGTGGTAGTTGGCGAGCTGGACGAGCTCGCGCAAGAAGTCGTCCTCCTGTGACGTGAAGATCCGACCGCTCAAGCCTCTGAAAGATATTCGATTTTGTAGGAGTTGATCAAAAGACGTCGAACCGGTCGCGATCGTCATCAAGCTGGTCGAAATCGGCGGAAGGTGGCTTGACCTTACAGGTGACGACAGCTATTCGCATCGCTGTGAATCTGGATGGTTTTTTTCTTCTATTCTCTTATTTTCAAACCTGATATGCTGCATGGTGTCGATGTCGCCGACGTGAGTGATGTTACTGGAGATGTCCCGACTTTCGGCGGTGCCATTGGAGGCCTGAGACTCGCCGAGCTGCGCCAGGACTTCGCTGATCCGGACGACTTCCAGATTGGCGTTGACGATGTATTTGACCTGGAATTTGAAGGTTTCAGATGATAAGGCAGGTATATGCAACACAAAATTCGAATTATAAAAATAAACAGTAGCTGAGTTTGAAAGCTTGAAAATTTTCATAAAGCACCAAATTTCTATCATTGGACTACAAAGATACAAAGATTCAAAGATTCACATATTTAACCCATTTTCAAGAACCAAATTGAGTGAAACTACTAAAAAACCGATGTATACATATGTATTAGGCTGATGATCCAAAAATTTTAAAGATAATTGTATTTCACAATTTTAACATTCTCCGACCGTTCGAGTGTGATTAGGCTGAAACTTCTGAAGGGAAAGAAAAAAAGCTTTTTTTTTGAAGTATATCTAAATTTAAATTCTATAACAGCAGAAAATCTTTGACTATTTAAAAATATAGAACCTCAAGCAGGGAAAATAGCAAAAAGCAAAAATTTTCGCCGAAAGACCAACTTTAATGAATCAATATTCTTGAATCTAACCTTTATATATAAGAAAAAGTTCGGAAAATACCGAAAATACCAACCTTTTCCGCATCAGCGATATCTCTCAAATAATCCTTGAGGCATTTCTGTTGTAGCCTTTTCAAATCCAACGGCTCCAAATGTAGTGGCTTCGTCGCATTGGCATCAATCGTGTGTGCTGTCGACTTGACAGTGAAGCAAATTGTTCCCTAAACAATATATCCGTCAAAATGTCATAATTACATTGATAAACCTCCAGTAACGAAAGGAAAGCCGCATGATGAGGGCGCTTTTGTGCTTGGCCAGAAGATTGTCGACCTGAAAATTCAATTTTTTTCCTCTTAAATTTAAAAATTTGTTGTGAATTAAATGAGCTTGCGCCTTTCGAAAGTCCCTAGAAGTTAAAAAAACCTCTTCAAACTCTAAGAATCCTAGCAACAGTCCATGCTTTCACAACTTTCTGACGTTGTTTCACTCGAGTCGTGGAAAATCTGGAGCAGTTCCAACATTCCTCGCCAAACCTTGAAAATAGAAAAATTTAGAAGTTTTTCTTAATTATTTATTTACCGAAAATCTGACGTTTTGTACTGCCACATTCGTACCGCAGATGTGGACATGAAGTACGTTCTTGAACGTCACGATCTCTGAAGTGAGATTTCCATCGGCACGACGATCAGCGATGCAAAACAAAGAATTTCTATTTTTAAAGAGACTTTGTAGACGAAATTACGCCAATCAGGAGATCTCTGATTACAGTATCAGAGTGATCCGCAGGAACCCTAAAAATTAGTAAACGATTCGAAAATAGATTAAAAACAACATAAAGCGACATCAAAAGAGAGAATTTGGCAAAATTTTGCGGGTATATGTCAAGAGCTGTTGAAAATCAGGCGGCTAGAGAAAAATGAGCTGATGATAGACAGCCAGCTTGTCAAAAGCTGCCAGCGAAAAGCGAGCTGCGAGGGTGGCCCACCGTTGGCAAAATAGTTGACTACATATTGCGGCTCCACCGATAACGCGCGCGATGACAGATTTTGAATTTTCAAAGGAAAATCATTATTTTGTTATCTTTCTTGTTGTTTTCATCCATTTTCTTTTTCATTTTGTTGTGATTTCGTGCAGAAAAGTTTATTTAATTTCCGCTTGCGTCGAATGAAATCGGGCGAAGTCAGTCTATAAAGTCGCACGTTTTCAATAATGAGGTTTCAGGACGCTTAAAAGCAATCAGAGTGGATTGATTTCTTGCGATGAGGAGAAGTTCAGTATTGGTTCCGCAACTTCACGAAGATAAAGACAATTTTCATCGGAAAACCCTGTATCATGCTCACTATTTGTTCTAGGTTTTAATAAACTGATATTTCTGTTATGCTCATCATTTTACAATACGCAACGGAGCAAATAGAAATTTTAAATGGTTCGCTAACGCAAAATCGGGAGAAAAATTATGTAGATAATTTTACTATCCTGCTAGTCACTTTCTGTATGTTTTGTCACTCTGACATTTTCAGTAATTGCTTTCAAAAGATTCAACAACGATGTAGTTTGAAATCATTCAACATAAAACAAGAAAAACTATATTTTTAGATACTAATGAGCGCGAAATGGACGAAATTCGGTTTACTGTTCTCGATGGAGCGCAGAGTCGCGCGATTAACACTGCCAACGGCGGGCGAAATTTTCGCAGCTCGTTTCCTCTCAGCTGATTTTTCTCTGCAAATTTCTTCGGCAGCCCATTTTTCGCTGGCAGTTTATCTCAAACAGCGAGGAGGCTCGATTTTCGCAGCTCTGACATATACCCAGATCAAACTCGAAGAATATGCGCGTGAGATCTAACACTTTGTGCATACACCGCTTGCACTGGGCTACAATACGACTCACGCGCAAAATCGACTCTGCTCTTTCATTGTAATTGTTTATATATTCGTTTCGGTATATAAATCATCAAACTGACGTTGAACGCCATTGACTGAAGCATCGCGTCCGGAACGACAATCTGGACTACTGAGCTTGTAGCCTTCAAAAGGTCAGGAAATCGCCCATCGATCAAAGTCACGTTGGACATCCGCATTTGACCTTGAAAAACGATTATTTTGATGAGGAATGAGGCCAAAATCTACAGAATCTTCTTTGAACTTTTTAATAAGTTCGTTAAATTTTCAAATATTATCACCTTGCAGAGTGCTGCTTGTAGAGGTGCTTGAACTGGTCCCAGTGCATTCCTAGAGAAGTTCAAAAATCAGAAAAAGTTCCAAAATTGATTTTTCAGAAATGGTAAGTTGAAAGAAATGACTCATTTTGCTCCAAAACTAGTTTTTAACCTATTTTCAAACCAAACGATTTTAGAGGACGCTAACCTCAAAAACTTTTTGGGAGGCAAATCAATACCGGATTCGATCCAATTCAACAGGAGGCCGTCTTGACTGTTACAACCGTATAGCCAGAATATCGTCGCCGTGTAGGAGGACATCATCCGTTGAACTTGGCAATCCTGCAAAAATTATTGGTTTTCATTGAAGGGTTGGGTTCAAATGGACCCATTTCCCTTGAGAAAAACATCGAGAAGCTATTTTTTGTCTCTCTGAAGCTTGAAATTGACTAAAAAATAACAATTCAGTAGAAAATCTTCAAAAATTTCAAAGTCAAGTTTTCAAGAAATCGGACTGGTCTTAGGAGTCAGGTGATCCGAGTCCCTAGTAGTGGTAGAGACCACTATAAGTTAGAAAAAGAGTGGCCCTAGGGGTCAAATTAAGGTGGTCTCTATAGGGGTTTAGGGTCTGACTTCTTAGCTCCTGAAGCTCAAGTGGCCCCTGGAGGGGTCTCTCAATTTCATTCGAAAAAATGCTCATTTATTCAGTTTTTCCCATGGAAATGCTTCTTCCCTTGAAGTTAGAGGCATGTCCCCTATAGGGGTCACTTTTTCAAGCTTTAGTAGTCACTATAGAGGTTGGTGGTCCTTAAGGTTTGCCCCTATAGAGGCCACTCTGGAGTTAAAATTGAGTCTTTTCAAGGATTATAACCTTTCGACTACATTGAAAATTTGATTTTCACCCGATTTCCTGTGGAAAAAGGTGACACGGGAACACAAATATGATTCAATTTTTGCAAAAAATAACCTGATTTCTCCTCGTCGCAATGGTGAAAGGCAATGACAAGGTGTGCGCCGTCGCAAATCGTCCAGAAGGACTGAAAATCGGCTGAATTATCAATGGAGCGCCCTTGACACCAACCTGAACATGGTGGCTTTAATGTGGAAGTAGAAAATGGGCCGTTTTCCGTTGGACTTGTCCATGGCGCCGGATGGGGATAAGTCCTGAAATATTGTTTTTTTTTTTTCCAAGGTTTTCTTATTGCTTTTCGGGTACTTGGAAGGAACTATGAGTGGAATGTCGTCCTTTCTGTCGAGTTGTGCAGAGCAAATGGGGATAGGTCGCTGCCCAGTACCTGAAAAATACGGAAAATCGAATAAAATCCCGGAAAAAAATCAGAAAATTACCGGTTTTTGCTGTTGTAAATCGGGTAGATAATGACGCTCTCCTTGCTGTTGACGTCACTTTTCTTGTGCGCCGTGTTGTTGGCCGTGTCTTAATTTTGAGACTTCAATTAATATTTTTAAAAGAGCATGAGTAGTCTCTGAAAAGCATAAGTCAGAAAATGCAAAAAAATATATCCTGAAGCTAGAATCGGGAAAAATTATGACCTAAAATTCAATGAAACGCTTTTAAATCATGCAGTGAATTCCAAAGCGCAACCGTTACCAAACTTTTACAGGTTATACATTCAGTAAAACCCTTATCAGTACAGGTTATAGTTCAGTAAAACTCGATCAGTACAGGTTAAATTCAGTAAAACTCTTATCATATTTTTAGCTTTTCGAATTTTACCTAATGAAAACTCAAACCATTCTGAGCGTCTGTTTCAACTGTCCAGGCTCGAAAAGACACGTCAGATCAATAATTCTAAAATGTTTCAAGACACTCAAAATGATGGCTACTGTATAGCTCCTAGAGCCATGAGAGAAAAATTCAAATTCTCTAATATAGAAAACCACTTTGAGACAATATTATCGCATTTTCAAGCGATCTGACATTGTTTACTTAGAAATCGAAGGACCTTTCAAAACTATCATAGTACATCCGCTTCAGTTTTCGCGATGTCTGCGTCTCTCTGATGTTCCCTCACACCAGCGCGGAGAAACGCGAAAATACGGCGCGTCAACAAGAGAGGGTCGTCGAGGAGACAGGGAGGCGCAGAGAGAGTCACAAAGAGTCACAGGACTCGGACATGGGTATCGCACCTCGCGGTTTCCTGAGCATTTCCTACAAGGGACTTTAGCGATGTCGTCCGACCTCTCAGTGCCCACTACATAGTGCTTCAGAATCGGTTTGCACGAGGTCCTAGGGAAATCTAGTATCATGGTCCAGTATCTGTCTATAACAAATTTCATTTTTCAGAAACTTTTCTTTATTCTGCCAAAATCTTTTTCCTAGTCTATCTCAAGCCTTCTACAAGGTCATGCGGTACTAAAAAGAGTAATATACCGGCTTGACTCGACGCATTGCTTCGTTTAGTTCCAGACGTCGGTTTCATCGCCAAAAGAGCGGCTGAAGGGGCCAATTGGATGGGTCCGGGGTGCTGGAGAAGCCGTTGTCGGGTTAAGTCCGACTGAAAATGATAATTACGAGTTTTCAGCTTAGATTCCTTGAGAATGAACCTGAATATGTTCGGCGGTCTCCTCGGACACGATTTGGATCTCGAAATCTTTGAAAACGACGCCGCGAGCCAAGGCGCCACAGTTCATACTAAAAATTCAGAAATAGTCCGTGAACTTAGAAACTCCAGAGTGGGCCCTATAGGGGCAATCTTAGGGGCCCTTGGAGGGTCTCTTCTAGGGACAAATTTACCAAGCAGATATATTCGATTCACGGCTAGCTTGGGACGCTAAGGGGGCGTGGCCTGTCTGGGCTCTCCACGAGCCAGGCACTATCTCGTGCATTATCGTGTCAGGACCCTTTTTCCGATGGCTCAGGTCAGCCGTGAATCCGCTATAGGGACCACTAAAGCTTGCAAAAGTGGTCCTTATAGGGGGGTTTTAGTTAGTAGTCCCTATAGGGGCGATCTTAGGGGCCCTTGTAGTGTTTCTCAAGTACTTCTTCATACCCTGAAACCGTAAAATACTTTAAATACGACCCTAAAATCTGAAAATTTTCTATTTTCATGTCGTTTTCATGTGTATATTGAAGCATTAAAAATCGAAACTTTATAAATTGGCTTGATAAAAAATAATTTATACATCCAATTACTCAAAATGTCTTCACTATTACTATCACTAAAACCAGCCGCATTTTACAAAAACTTCATTTTTGAACTATCAAAGATTAAAAATGTTCTGTGTGACCTTCTTTCTGATTTTTTACCATTGGGAAGCGAGTCAAAAGATTCAAACAGTGACTTTAAAAACGTCCGCCTTTTACAACCCCCTCATACCTGAACAAATTATTCGTGACCAAAATGGCGCAGGTCGACGGCTCCGTGGCCAGGACGCAGTTCGACATGAGCAACTCCAAGGCGGAAAAGACGGCTTCGGAGAGTGGCAAGACCGGGTCGAAGGTTCCGAACATCTGAAGGAAAGCCACCGTAACCCTTGTCATATTCTCTTCGAGACCTTTTTGTTCATGGTCAGGTCGTAGCGGAAGCCTTGGAGTCGGGCTCCAAGGACGGCCAAGACGTACATCATCTGTGAGTAGAAGGAGACGAGGTTGGTGACGGGGTCGTCGGGGAGGGGGCCTTGGTCGCGCATTCGCTGAATCTGCGCCCCACGGACGGTCGTCCAGAGCTCCTGGCACCGCTTGTTACAGTATCCCTTGAAGAGCTCGATGCAGGGAATCAGGACTTGCTCGCCGAATTGCTGCAGCATCAGTCGGAACTGTTCGACGTCGTCCGGCGTTTGGATGAACTCCGAGTTCATTTGTCTGAAAATTTCGGATTCCTTGGTTGGGCTGTTGAAAATCATCGTTACGATCATTGTTCTGGCATGAGAAATAAGATAGGCTGGAGAATTAAATAGAAAACGCAAAAAATCATTTCTCAAAAAATCCAATAGAGATCCTAAACAAGCGACTGAAAGAATTGTTGATGACGTCATTCTTCCTTCTAAGTGACGTCATCAAACTAGCTACATTTAAAAATTTCACTGTAAAGTGTCGAACTAGATGAATTTTTGGTCAGAAAGTTCCATAGAGATCCTAGAGCTACAAAATGTATCCGAGAGTGATGACGTCATTTTCCATTTCGAATGACGTCATTTTCTATTCGAGTGACGTCATTTTTCATTTCAGTAACGTCGTCTTTCACTTTAGTGACGTCATTTTTCACTTTAGTGACGTCATTTTTCACTCCAAGTGACGTCATTTTCTTTACCAAGTGACGTCATTTTTCCTTCCGAGTGACGTGATTTTCTTTTCCAGTGACGTCATTTTCCATTCCAATTGAAGTCATTTTTCAATCTGAGCGACGTCACTTTCCATTCCGAGTGACGTCATTTTCTTTTCCAGTGACGTCATTTTTCACTATAGTGACGTCATTTTTCATTCCAGTGAAGTCATTTTCTATCCCGGTGACGTCATTTTTCTTTCCAATTGACGTCATCTTCATTCCAGTGACGTCATTTTTGATTTCGAGTGACGTCATTTTCTATTAAAATTGAAGTCATTTTTTTCAATCTAAGTGATGTCACTCTCTATTCTTAGTGACGTCATCTTCCAATCTAGTGACGTCATTTTTGATTCCAGGTGACGTCATCAAATTTTCGCTCTTTTGCAGATTACGAAAAAAGTATAAGTCCATTCACTTCTCTACCATTTTTTCTAGAATTTCAATTAGTTTGGAATATCTTTAAAGATTTCTGAAAATAATTTCGCGATGAGTCATACTGTAGGCTATGCTCCTTCAAAATTCACATTTTTTTGAAATCCCATTCCCACCTGTACAAGTTGTGCAGGTTCATCATGGTCTCGCTCATTTTCTCCTTCAAAAACCCGTATTCCTGGTCCAAGCTGCTCTCCGGGAACGGCAGGAACTCCCTGGGAATTTTCCAACCTTTCCAAAGATTTTTTTTTTTCTGAAAACCTGGAATAATTGACGAGTTCGACGAGAGCTTGATTGAGCCTCGAGTAGATCATCTTGTCCTCGTTCGACACGACGACCTGGATAAAATCAAAGTGGGCGGGGCGACGCGTCGCGGCTCACCTGGCTCAAGCTGTTCTGCATCCGGCTGGTGATGCACAAGACGTTCCAGGTGAGCATCGTCCATTCCTCATAGAAATCCTGGAAAAATTCCAATAAGGACAAGTTTCTGAGGTTTTTGAAGGCGCAGAGCTCAGGTGAAGACATGAAAAATTTTTTTTGAGCCCCTAAAATTCTGAATTTTCAAAACAAAAACAAAAGCTGTTCAAAAATCCCTTCTGGGAGTACGCATGAACCTTTCTTGACTTCAAATAACCCAAAAAAATGGCTCTTCGCCTCAAGACAATTTTTAAATTGGCCTCTGCTCCTTTAAATTTTTTTGAACGGACTTTGTTCTTTAAAAATCATTTTTTTCTATCCTTCTTCTTTTCAAAAAAATCCTTGCTATGAAGTTAAATGACTCTACAACCTTTAATGACTTTAAATAACCTGAAAAAAATGACTCTTCGTCTCGAGACCTTTCTGAAATTTGCCTCTGCTCCTTTAAAAATACCCCTGAAAGGGTCTTAGAACGAATTTTATTTTTTTAAATATTTTTTTATTATACCCTTCTTCTATTCGAAAATCCTCGCTGCGAAGTTTGAAAGACGTAATAAACTTTCAGGACTTTAAAACCCGTGAAAAATGACTTTTCGCCTCGATAACAGTATGTAGATTTTCCCCTGCTCCTTTAAAACACCCCAATAGGAATCTTGGAACGAACTGTTTTTTAAAATAATTTTTCACGCTTGTACTCTTCCCAAGTCCTCCTTGTGAGTTTGAAAGACGTAATAAACTTTCAGGACTTTAAAACCGTGAAAAATGGCTCTTCGCCTCGATACCAGTATGTAAATTTTCCCCTGCTCCTTTAAAACACCCAAACAAAGATCTTTGAAAGATTTTTTCTACGTTTCTCTTCGCTTCGAGACCAGTATTAAAAATTTTCCCCTGCTCCTTTAAAAGATTTTTTTGATTAGCTTAAACTTTTTTTCTAACATTTCCTACGCTTCTCATATCCAAAAAAACGTGTCATGAAAATTTTTTGCAAGAAGTTAAACTAATGTTTCACAATTTTCAAAATTTAGAAGAAGGAAAAATCCAAATTTCGACTGTTCTTCGGTCTTGGTTATGTAAAATAAGCTTGAAAATCGGAAAAAAGCAAGTTTTTCGATGATTCTGAGAGCTAGTTTAACGAGAAACAGTGAAAAATATCGACTAAAAAACTGAATTTTCATGAAAAAATCTCCTTTTCCCAAAAATTTTCAAAAAATACCTGTGTTTTCAGTTCCAAGGAAGTGTTCTGCTTGATCCGATTTACACGGCCGTCGATTTCCGTCAGAAGCTTGCAAATCGCGTTTTTCACCTGAAACGTTTATTTTTGGAGGTCAAAAGAATCGGAAAAAAATCAACATTATTCGAAAAAAAAATAGGGTTTTTCTCGTGAGCTTTTTGATTTTCTATAGCCCTTTGTTATGATTGTTATCTTCCTTATCACTTTATCAAATAAATATAGGCTTCTACATTTTTCCTGGAAACAGACCCGACTTTTTGATGAATTTTGTGCTGAAATTTTCAATAAAATCAATTTTCTGATCATTTTTCCCATTTTTCTTTCATACCTTGTCCATTCTCTGTTCTTCTGAATCCGTTATCGGCGGATCATAATGCCTTTGTACGCCGTGCCAGAGGCAGAACAGATCGTACAAGAGTTTCTGGAACGCCTCATTTGGCACCATTTTCTTCTTCAGACGCTACTGAAAATCGAGGACTTTTTTCGTTATTTTCAGCCGAAAACTCACAAAGAAAAACTGGACTCGGAGGGTTTTCACCCCAAAATCAGGGGAGCCACGGGAGTTGAGAAGAAACTGACCAGTTTTTCTCGTTTCTTTCCTGGAAAATTGCGAATTTTTTCAAGATCCAAAGAGCGTGAAAATGAGCAGAATAGTGAGAAAGCTTCGACAATTTTTTCAAGCTATATTCGAAAATTTATAAAATTTTATTTTTACCCTGTATCTTCTGAGAACTCGGGGGAAGTGGGTAAAGTGGATAATGGTCATTAAAAAGGAGAAGCTCGGAAAGGCTGCAAAAAGGAAGAAAAGAGGCAGAAAAAAGGCAGAAAAAGACTGAAAAAAGGCCGCAAAAAAGCAGCAAAATGGCAGCAAAAAGGCCACAAAAAGGCAGCGGAAAAGGCCAAAAAAAAGGCAGAAAAAAGGCCACAAAAAGGCCGCAGAAGGGCAGCAAAAGGGCCGCAAACAGGCCGGAAAAAAGCAGAAAAATGGCAGAAAAAAGACCGAAAACAGGCCGAAAAAAGACCGAAAACAGGCCGCAAAAAGGCCGAAAAAGGGCAGGAAAATGGAAGCAAATGGCTGCAAAAAGGCCACAAACAGGCCGCAAAAAGACCGCAAAAGTGCAGCAAAAAGGCGGAAAAATGGTCGCAAAAAAGGTCGGAGAAAAGGCTGCAAAAAAAGGAAGAAAAAGAGGCAGAAAAAGAGGCAGAAAAAAAGGCTGAAAAAGACTGAAAAAAGGCCGCAAAAAAGCAGCAAAATGGCAGCAAAAAGGCCACAAAAAGGCAGCGGAAAAGGCCAAAAAAAAGGCAGAAAAAAGGCCACAAAAAGGCCGCAGAAGGGCAGCAAAAGGGCCGCAAACAGGCCGGAAAAAAGCAGAAAAATGGCAGAAAAAAGACCGAAAACAGGCCGAAAAAAGACCGAAAACAGGCCGCAAAAAGGCCGAAAAAGGGCAGGAAAATGGAAGCAAATGGCTGCAAAAAGGCCACAAACAGGCCGCAAAAAGACCGCAAAAGGGCAGCAAAAAGGCGGAAAAATGGTCGCAAAAAGGTCGGAGAAAGGCTGCAAAAAGGAAGAAAAGAGGCAGAAAAGAGGCAGAAAAAAGGCTGAAAAAGACTGAAAAAAGGCCGCAAAAAAGCAGCAAAATGGCAGCAAAAAGGCCACAAAAAGGCAGCGGAAAAGGCCAAAAAAAAGGCAGAAAAAAGGCCACAAAAAGGCCGCAGAAGGGCAGCAAAAAGGGCCGCAAACAGGCCGGAAAAAAAGCAGAAAAAAATGGCAGAAAAAAAGACCGAAAAACAGGCCGAAAAAAAGACCGAAAAACAGGCCGCAAAAAGGCCGAAAAAAAGGGCAGGAAAAATGGAAGCAAATGGCTGCAAAAAGGCCACAAACAGGCCGCAAAAAGACCGCAAAAGGGCAGCAAAAGGCGGAAAAAAATGGTCGCAAAAAGGTCGGAGAAAGGCTGCAAAAAGGCCGCAAACAGGCAGCAAACAGGTCGCAAAAAGGCAGCGGAGGTGGCAGAAAAATGGCAGCAAAAACCGAAAAAAGGCAGAAAAACGACCACAAACAGGCTGCAAAAGAGCCGCAAAAAGGGTAGCAAGAAGGAAGCATTTTTCCAGTCTTATATGAAAGAATTCTTTTATTTTGAGGCTTCAAATTCTTAAAAAATTAGACCCGAAACTTCTTAGTGTACCAGAAAATGACCCTGAAAGTCTTAACCTGAAAAACTACCTAAATTAAAAAAAAACCCCTCAAAGTCCTTTAAAATCGGCTATTTTGGAACTTAAAGCTCTTATTCTATATACAGTTTGAGACTCCAAAAATCTTCTTTCAGTGGACCAAGAATTGTTCTGGGTAATTTTAGAGGAAATCCTAGCCTCAGTCAAGGTAAAATGACTTGTGGGATATTTTTCAGTCTTCAACGAAATTTTCATGATTTTTTAAAAATCCTGAGCTCATTGGAACCTTCTAAGAACTGCGAAAAAAAATCCAGAGGAAAAAAAAATCCAAAAAAGTCATTTGAGTCAGTGAAATGAAAAAACGATGGGAAAAAAACGCGTTCGTCAAAAAAATCAGAAAAATTGTTTTTCAAACTCATCAACATCTAAGCTAGAAAAAATTGGTTGAAATGGTCGATTTTTGTTGAAAAACGAAGAACATGACTTGCATGTGATCGCCATATGATCTAGTGGAGATGATAGGGAGTCTCAGGGGTCATAAAAATCGCGAAGAAAGATGGAAAGATCGATGTGGGATTCTTCTTTCAGATCAATCAAAATGAATCAATTCATAATAAAATCAAAGTTTATGAGACACAGGTGCGAACACCTGAACTATGAGTTTTTGGAGTGGGTATCTTCGAAAAAGCAAAAAGCAAAACTAGTTTAGGAGGATCAAAACGGTCTAATTCAATAAAAGTTTGAAGCGAACAGTTTCAGAAAAAAAAATAAAAGGGGGTAAAAACGATCCCTAGTCAAAGCATAGATTTCCTAGAAGTCTGAAATTTCCCCATGTCTTTAGACACTTGGGAAGAGAAAACTAAATAAAAAACAATACATATTTCCGGGTATTTATCTGTTAAGTATGACAGAAAATTTCTCATAACCCACTTTTTTTTCTGCTATAATGCTTCAGAACTCCCAAAATATCTGAGAAACGTGGAGAAAGCGTTTTTATGAAGGTTTTTGTAGCGTGACGACTCAAAAACAGGGTCTATTTTTCTTTTTTGGAATGAGAAGGTCGTCATTGAATACATGTTTGAAGCCAACAGTTCAGAAAACGAGAAAATTTACTCACTAAGGAATCTTTCGTTTTTGAAGCGTATCAACTAAAAAACCAGATTTACTGAGAGGATTCGTTTTTTCTTGTTCTGGAAAAGAAAACAAAGGAAATGGGATAAAAGAACATTGAATTCAATGTGCCTAGTTTAATACAAGTTTGAAGCCAACAGTTTCAGAAAATAAGAAAAGTCATAGAGTATATTTTAGCAAAGTTTCATCAAAAATTCGGGTAAAAGCGATTTCCTATAAAGTCTGGAAGCTCAGAAACGTCTTCAAAAAAACTTGGATAAAATAAACTAAAATAATAGATTTCCTAGAAGTCTGAAGCTCAGAAACGCCTCCAAAAACTTGGGAAGCGAAAAAATAAGATTTTGGGGGTAAAAGTACATAAAAAATTATTGGCTGCGTACGTATAGTTAAAGCCAAAAAAACCTCAGGGAAAAAGTCCATTTACAAAAACTATTAGGAAATTCACGCAAACCAATAGACTTCTTGTAAAGTCTGGAAGCTCAGAAATGTCTTCAAAAAAACTTGGATGAAGTATACTAAAACCTATGGATTTCCTAGAAGTATGGAAGTTCACCAACGTCTTCAAACACTCGGGAAAAGAAAAAAATAAGAAAACGGGGGGTAAAAGTAAATATAAATAAATGTACCTAAGTGAATTCAAGAATCAAACTAATAATTTCTTAGGGAGTCTGGAAGCTCACCAACGTCTTCAAACACTTGGGAAGAGAAAAATAAGATATTGGGGGGTAAAAGTACATTGAAATCAATGTACCGAGTTGTGTGTGTGCGTGAGATAGTGGTGGGAGGCGTGCCAACGGCGTTTTCGGTGCGCGTCGCGGAGGGGTCACCCGTCGCCTCTGCGGATATCGTTCGTCGCCCTCCCCAATGATAACAAAAACGCGTCCGTCGCCAATATTTTACCACCCGTTCTGTGGGAGAATGTGGCAAAAATACGTTCGTCTTGGTGACTTGGAAGGGGTCTTTTAAGGGAAATTAAGGGAAAGAGACCTTATTTTTGGGGAAAAAATAACCTTATTTTTAAGGAAAAGAGAACATTTTTTAAGGAAAGGGAACCTTATTTTTAAGGGAAAGAGAACCTTATTTTAAAGGGAAAGAGCCTTATTTTTTTAAGGGAAAGAGAACTTTATTTTAAAGGGAAAGAGAACCTTATTTTTAGGGGAAAGAGGACCTTATTTTTTTAAGGGAAAGAGAACCTTATTTTTAAGAGAAAGAGAACCTTATTTTTTTAGGGGAAAGAGAACCTTATTTTTAAAGGGAAAGAGCCTTATTTTTAAGGGAAAAGAGAACCTTATTCTTGGGGAAAAAATAACCTTATTTTTTTAAGGAAAAAGAGAACATTTTTAAGGAAAGGGAACCTTATTTTTTTAAGGGAAAGGGAACCTTATTTTTAAGGGAAAAAGAGAACCTCATTTTTTTAGGGAAAGAGAACCTCATTTTCGAAAAATTACATGAAATAACCTCTACTGTACTCCAAATTGCCTATAAAAATCCTCAGGATTTCAACCAAATTTATTCAATTTCGATCCAAAATCAACAGGCAACTGTTCAAAAAAAGTTGGAACTGAAAATTTTCAAACTACCTGGAAAGTAGTCCATCAAAAAATCGAATTTCTGAATTTCAAGACCAAATTTTTTCCATAAAAAACGCGAAAAGGTCCATATTTTTGTGTAAAAGAGATGGTAGTACTAACAGAAAAGTTGAAAAGTAGTTGAATAAATTATTTTTTTCCAAGCCAATTTAGACAATTTTGATCTTGAATGCTTCAATATGCACATAAAAACGATATGAGGATAGAAATTGAAAAAAAAAATTTTTGAGTGGTCCCAATAGAGTTTAAATCAAGGTGATCCCTATAGTGTATGACTCCTTCGGCTCTAAAGTTCAAGGGGTCCCTACAGGGATCTTGAAACTTTACTTAAGGGGTCCCTATAGGAAAATTTCAAGTTCACATTACAAAAGACGCTTATTTATTTAATTTTTCGCATGGAAATGCTTCTTCTCATAGCCTGTCCCTATAGGGGCCACTTCTGCAAGCTTTAATGGCCCCTATAGGGGTTGTGGTCCCTAAGGTTGCGCCTATAGGGGCCACTCTCGGAGCCTACATCTTCAGTGATGAAAACTCAAACTTCAGGACCAATCGATCC